GGGGTTATTTAGGGGAATGTGCTGGTGTGTGCCCGGCAGGTTAAAAGGCGGTGGGACTGGGAGCAGGAGTCTTCTGGGGGTGCTGTTCGATAATACGGGCCTGGGCTGGGAGGCGGGTTGGGAGTGGAGAGGAATGGGTGATGAAGAAAGAACCTGACCAGACCTAGTGACTGGCCAGGCCCAGATGAAGGAGAAGGAAGGATCTGCACGGGGAACTCCAAACTGGGTTCCTCTGGCTCAGTCACTCACTGGCTGTGTGACCTCAGACAAATCCCCTAACCTCCCTGGGCCTTTTTTCTCATCTGTAAGCTGAAGGAGTGAGAGCAGTGGCATCGGGTATCTGCTGGGGGCCGGGGGCTGTGTTACATGCTCTTCAAGGTGCCTTTCAGCCCTTGAATTGTGCCATCAGAAATAAGGAACCAGGCAGGAAAGAATGACACTCATTGTGACACTTGCAAATTTACAAAAAGACCTCAAGCCCTAGCTTCAGGAACTTGGATTCACATCTTGATTCTGCCACTATGTGGCCTTAGGCAAGTCACTAGCCTCACTGGAAAGGCTCCTAAACTGTAACCTGGAGATTTAGATGATAACTTCACCTCCTGGGACGTTAAAGAGGAGAATATATGCAAAGTGCTTAGCATACAATAGCACTCAGTGACCTGTTCTCATTCCCTTCTTTCTCTCAGTAGTTCTATGAACTGATAATAACAGTGCACACATTTTTTAAATTCATTTTTATTTGGCTGGATGGGGTCTTAGTTGCAGTGCGTGGGATCTTCGTTCTATCACGCGATACCTTTCATTGTGGTGCACGGACTCTCTAGGTGGTGGCGTGCAGGCTCAGCAGTTGTGGTGCGCAGGCTTAGTTGCTCTGTGGCATGTGGGGTCTAGTTCCCCAACCAGGGATGAATCTGTGTCCCGTGCATCACAGGGTGGATTCTTAACCACTGGACCACCAAGGATGTCCCCTGTGTACCCTTCTTAAGCATTTGCTTTGTGCGTCTTCACGTACATTAACTCATTTAATCCTCACAATAGCCCTGTGGGGTAAGTACCCTTATTCCCTTTCAGTGATCACAGAAACAGGCAGAGAGGTTAAATGATCTGCCTTGTCACACATCTCGCAAATGGCATCATCAGAAGAAACCCAGCTAGTAAGAGGTGAAGCTAGGATTCATGTCTCATTCTCCCTGTTATTCCCATTTTACAGATGAGAAAACTGAGAAAAATTCATTTGACTGCAACCTCACACACAGCCTGTGGCAAAACTGAGTTTCAGAGTATGTCTGTTAGCCTCAAACCCTCTGCCTTGACCATACTGCCGTTACTAAGGAAGAGATGCTTCAATGCTTAGTTCCACTTTAAACATGCCACAGTTGAGGTGGTGCAGAGACAGCCTAGCAAAAGTCTCTTTGGTAGCTAAGAATGTGAGACACGAATCTGCTTCATTGATACATGCCAAGCGCCTGGAATAGTGCCTGGCACATGGTAGGCACTCAGTAAGTAGTCACTGGGAGCAAGTAGCCGAAGTAGAGATATTATTGGGAGTCAATCCCGTGGAAGTGATGGCTGGAAACATAGCCAAGGGCTGGGGATCCCAGGCACCCCTGTCACTCAGAATTCCATCTGGGGAGGAGCCGCTGCTCTGGGGAACACTGGTCCTCTTGGCCTGGAGTACCAAGAGGCTCCCTGGGTAGCTCTGTGGGTTTTGATCTAGGTTCAGCACCCTGTTTTGCCAGCAGATCCACCATGTGACTTCGGACAAGTTACTTTCTGTTTTCTTTTTCCTTTTTCTTAGGCTTTTACTAAAGTATAACGGGCTTGCCAAAAGTGTACAACTCCTAAGTGTTCTGTTTGTTGAGGGTTCACAATTGGAACACACACATCTAATTAGCACACCCAGACCAAGAAACAGTGGTGGAGCCCCCCTTGTTCCCTTTCCAATTGCTGTCACCCCTCCCCCCGCAAGGATATCTGTGGTCCTGACTTTTACCACCATAGATTACTTTTACCTGTTTGTGAACATTTGTGCACTTACGCATTTGTGAGATTCATTCATATTGTTGTGTATATAAGGATCATTCATTCTCACTGCTGCATGCAATTTTTTTTCTCTGTTCTACTATTGATGGGAGTTTGAGTTGTTCCAGATTTTGGCTATTTTGAGAATTGTTGCTAAGAACAGTCTTGCACTTGGCTTTGGTGCACTTCAACTCATGTGCATTTCTGCTGGGAAAACACCTCTGAGTGGGACTGCTGGGCTGCACATGCTGAGCTTTGGTAGTTAGTGCAGAACTGTTGTCTAAAGTGGTCAGATGAGATTTTGAGTTGCTGTACATTTTTGCCAACACTTGAGATATATATATATATATTTTTCATGTTCGCCGTTCTGGTGCATATGTACTGGTAGCATATTGTGGTTTTAATTTGCATTTCCCTGATGACTAATGAGTATGAGCACTTTTTCATGTGTCTATTAGCCATTTGAACAGCTTCTTTTATGAAATGCCTGTTTGAATCTTTTGTCCACGTTCAGATTCAGTTGTCTGATTTTTTTCTTACTGACTCATAGGACTTCTTTATAGACTCTGGATACACATCCTTTGTCCTTTGTCAGATAAACGTACTGCACATATCTTCTACTACTCTGAAGGTCGTATTTTCATTGTCAATAATCTCTTTAGATGGACAGGAGTTCTTAATTGTGATAAAATGCTGTTTATCAAATTGTTCTTCTATGGTCAGTTCCTTTGTGTCTTTTTTAAGAAGTCTTTGTCTACTCCAGAGTCAGGAAGCTGTTCTGTTTTTATTTATTTATTTTTTAATCCAAAACATTTTGTATTGAGCACTGTAGTCCATCTGGAATTGAGTTTGTATTAAGTGGGAGGCATGTGTGCTCAGTCATGTCCAACTCTTTGTGACCCCATGGACTGTAGCCTGCTAGGCCCCTCTGCCTATGGAATCTTCCAGGCAAGAATACCTGAGTGGGTAGCCATTCCCTTCTTCAGGGGATCTTCCTAAGCCAGGGATCAAACCTGCATCTCCCACATTGCAGGCATTCTTTACTACTGCACCTCCTGGGAAGCCCTTCTAACAGTTCCATTTCCCCCCATTTGTGTATCCAGTGGATCCAGCATTGTTTTATCAGGAAGAGACCATCTTCCTCCTTGGCCCTGTGATGTTGCCTTTGTCCTGAATCACATGATCATATACATGTTAGGCCTGTTTCTGGAGTCTGTTCTGTTCTACTGGTCAGCATTTCTGCCCTTGTACCCAAACCAGGCTGTCTTAAGTACTTAGGCTTTATCATAAGTGTTAATGTCTTGCTGTATAAGACCTCTAGCTTTGTTCTTCAAGAGTTCCTTGGCTATTCTATTCATTTGATTTCTATATGAATTTTAGAATGAGTTTGTTAATTTCCACACATACAAAAACCCCAACCGAGATTATGTTGAATCTAAAAATTAATTTGGAGAGAATAAATTGTTTTCTAATACTGAATCTGCCAACCCATGAATATCATATATCTCTGCACTTCTTTTTGTCTTAAAATTTTTATTATGAAAAATTTCAAACGTTCAGAAAAGTGGGAAGAATTAGAATAACATTTGTATAAATTCACCATCTAGATTAAATAGTTGTTACTAGTGTGTCATATGTGTCACACAAACATATGTCATATTAAACCATTTCATAGTAAATTATACACATAGTAAAATATTCACTTACCCCATAAATACTTCAACATGCATCTCCAAGGTTTAAGGATAGCCTCCTCCATAATGACAATTCCATTATCCCATCTAGGAAAATTAATGGTTCCCAGATTTTTAATCGATAGTCATTTGTTCCCCCTTGCTCTCCAACTTTCTTTTGTTGCTATGTTTTGTCTTATTTTTTAATAATTTTATTTATTTATTTTTTGGCTGCGCTGGGTCTTCATTGCTGCGCAGGCTTTTCTCTGGTTTCAGAGACCAGGTGCAGATGCATCTAGTTGGGATGCATCTCACTGCAGTGGCTTCTCTCCTTGCTGAGCACAGGCTCTCAGGCCCACGGGCTTCAGTGGTTACCTCTCCCAGGCTCTAGAGCACAGGCTCACTCCGAGGCATGTGGGGTCTCCCTGGATCAGGCAGGCAGATTCTTTACCACTGAGCCACCAAGGGAAGCCCCCTGTTTTGTTTTGTTTTTGAAAACAGGATCCATTCTAGGATCAATCTTTGCACTGGTTTCTATCTCTTAAATCTTTTAAAATTTAGAAGCATCTCCCTTCTCCTTTTGTAAGCGACACTTTTAAAATATTCTTTTTTTATCTGAAGTAGAGTTGAAATACAGTGTGACGTTTGTCAGGGAGCAGGGCAGAGGGCTTGTAGACATCACACCTTCCGCATCTGATTGTTTCCTCGTAGCTTTGCTCTCACTGTGTCCTCTGGCCCTCCTGGAAGCCAGAACTTAGATCTAGGCTTGTTTGAAAGAAAGTGAAAGTGTCAGTTGCTCAGTCGTGTCCGACTCTTTGCGACCCCATGGACTGTCGCCTGCCAGGCTCCTCTGTCCATGGGATTCTCCAGGCAGGAATACTGGAGTTGCCGTTCCCTTCTCCAGGGCATCGTCCTAACCCAGGGGTTGAACCACGGTCTCCTGCATCGCAGGTGGATTCTTTACAGTCCCTGGTGGGTCAGACTCTAAGGATGCAAGTAAAGCTCACTAAGATGTTTAGATGTAGATAAAGCTCACCAAGCCTTCCCAGGTCACCCTCTCTGAAAGCCCTCCCTGAAGTGGTACGTGAGCAGGCGTGTGAAGCTTCTCCACAGCACTTGGCACGCAGCACGTCTCGGTGGGTGGTCACAGCTCTCGATGCCCTTGGCAGCCATCTTCCCCTAATGTTTGTCCCCCCAAAGCAGCTTCCCTGAAGCTTCTCTCGTCCTGGCTGGGCAGCACTGGCTTCCCCCTCCCCCTGGACAGGGCTTGGCCATCCTGCGTCTGTCTCTCCCTCTTCTCAGACAACACAGGCAGTTCCACGTACCGGCCGCCCCCACGGACCCGGGAGGTGATGATCAACGGGCAGGTGGTGAAGCTGAAGTACTGCTTCACCTGCAAGATGTTTCGGCCGCCCCGGACCTCACACTGCAGTGTCTGCGACAACTGTGTGGGTAAGTGGGAGGCAGCAGAGAGGGGGGCGCAGGCAGTCCTGAGAGGGATGGAGCCCTGGAGATCGGGAGTCGCTTGTGGGCGGGTGGGGGCGTCTGGGCAGGAAATCTGGTTCCCTCAGATTGGCTCTGACTGAGGAGGGGCTGCGGGGAGGGGCCCTGAATGTGACCAGTGGTATCACGGCTTCGGCCCGGGAAGGGGGGATTCCTCCCCCAGCTCTGAAGTGGACATAGAGACACCTGAACCCTCCTCCCAGCTGTTGGCCTGGTCCTCAGCGGGTCCAGGGTCCAGAGTCTGGACCATGACATTCTAGACATGTGGCCCAGGGCCAGCTCTGCTGAAAGTCCCGGGGTTTGGACTGACAAAAATCTGGGAATTGAGGAGTTCATGCCAGTGAGGTGGAGAGGGCGGAGCTGGGATTGGAAGCTAAGCTCCTGACCCACGACTGCCATGGTTGTTGGGGAGCCAGAGGCTGTCTCGTCCCCTCTTGCCGCTCTCTGGAGGCCCAGCAGCTCTGACGGGGGTCCAGGGTGCGCCTCTGGGAGGGTGTTGTAAGGGAGAGGCTATGCGAGAGGACCCAGGCGAGCTGAACCATGGTGACTGTGCACAGTCCCTAGGGCGGTGAGCTCATGACGCTAACTCAGCACTCCCTCACCGGGGAGCCGTGGGGAGCACCCGGACGGCAGGCCGTGAAGTGGGTGACTCAGTGGGTGTCACTCCTCCCTGAGAATCTGCCCCACCCACCCTCTGTGAAGGGCGCTGGCCCGGTGCAGGCCTGCGTCAGGCTTGTGACCCACATTCCCACAGGGGACTTTCTTCACCTGCCTGGGCGTGACCCCACCCCTGGGACACAGTGCTGGTGTGAGCTCAGCCTTCTGACTAGGCCTCCAATGCTGGTTCTCCACAAGTTACCTAGCGGGCCCGCCCATCCCTGGCCCTCTATTCTAGAGCTTGGGAACAGGGGTCATTGGTTGTTGCCAAGGGGCCAGGATCGTAGGTGCCAAGTCCTTTCTGTGGGTCTTCTTCATACCAGACTCTGCCATGCCCTGGGGTTCAGCCCAGGCCCTCGCATGGCGCTCACAGTGGAGCAGGGGTTATAGTTTGTGCTTACTGTGTTCAGTCGCATCTGACTCCTTGTGACCCCATGATCTGTAGCCCACCAGGCTCCTCTGTCCATGGAATTTTCGAGGCAAGAATACTGTGGGTTGCCAGTTCCTGCTCCAGGGGATCTTCCTGACCCAGAGATCGAGCCCCGATTGGCAGGCGATTCTTTACCACTATGCCACTTGGGAACGGGTTACAAGCCAACCTGTTAATTATAAATAAATATATAAACCCATGTAGGCAAAGTGCTGCAAAGGACAAGTGCCAGGGCAATGGGGCAAATAACAGGGGCCTCACTCTCCTCTGAGGTTGAAGGAGAACTTTCTCAAGGATGTGGCCTTGCAGCCACGACACAGAGGAACCGGCGGGTGAAGGACCAGAGGCCAGGAATGTCGAGGAACTGAGAGTTGCATGTGGACAGAGCGAGGGGGTGGGGTCACCCAGCTGTGGTGAGAGGCGTCTAAACACCTGGCGCTGACCTGCCTCCCTGACCCTTCCAGAACGGTTTGACCATCACTGCCCCTGGGTGGGCAACTGTGTGGGGAAACGGAACTACCGCTTCTTCTATGCATTCATTCTCTCCCTCTCATTCCTGACGGCCTTCATCTTCGCCTGTGTGGTCACCCACCTGACGCTGCGTGAGTTAGGGGTGACGGTGGGTGTGGGGCAGGGCTGAGCGGGAGGGCCGGGGGCCAGCTCAACCAGCTCAAGGGGCCGTGGTCACCGTCCCTTGAGCTGTGCCCTCTCCTGTCTCTTCCTCCCCAGGCTCTCAGGGAAGCAACTTCCTCTCCACTCTGAAGGAGACACCAGCGAGATATCCTTTTGTCAGCAAGGGGGAGCCCTGATGGGACCCAAGGCCCCTTTCCTGAGGCCGGTCCCTGTACCACGTCCTGTTAACAGAGGGCAATGGGTTAGAGCTGATGTTTGTCTTCTGGAATCCAGCGTGCCAGCTGCTCCTGTTCACCCCCAGGCTACAGCCCATTCTGAATGGGCTGTTACGGGGCCAGAATTGCCAAGAACTCCCAAGAGCACAGACCCCTAAGACACCCAGCTCTCTGGACTGTGCCGTGTCTGTGACTCTGGTGTTTGAAACCCTCAGTTCTCTCTTCCATCCATTACCCTGGGCTTGTCCTGCCCTCTGGGGGCACCTGAACCCTCCTTGTGGCCCAGGAGGGGATCTGCTGAGATGGATGGTTACAAACTTACCTCCCTTCTGGGGGAGTAGCTGCACAGAGGGATGGGTGAGAAAGTCTGGTGAGGGAGGCTCCCAGCCCCAGTCCCCGTGTGGGTCCTTGACTGCGCCGCTCACTGTGCTGGAGTTGGTGATCTGCTTCTTCTCCATCTGGTCCATCCTGGGCCTCTCAGGGTTTCACACTTACCTCGTCGCCTCCAACCTGACAACTAATGAAGACGTGAGTAAAGGCTGGAGCAGCAGCTTATCCCCGGGCCGGGGGCAGGGCTGAGGGAGCCTGGGGCAGCCACAGTGCAGCCCTGGCCCCCAAACTTCTGGGCAGATATGGGCAGGGAGGCAAGGCAGCCCGGCATCTCCTTTCAGAGCTCAGGGCTGGGTTCTGGGGGACCCTGGGCAGGCCCCCGAGGTTGCTTTCTCCCTAACCCCAGCAGAGCAGAACTGACCCCATTGCTGTCCTTACATTTGGCTGGCTCATTACCATTTCCAGGGTTCTTTCAGTTTCCATCATCTCTTTGGGTCCTTTTGCCTCTGAGGCAGAAGGAACAGAGATGCTTTTTCTTCATTTGATGGCTGACTGACTTGCCCCAGGTCACCAGCTGGAAAGGGATAGAGCCCGGGTTGCACTTGGAAGCTCAGGCCCACCATGCTGTCCTTGTAGACAGCAGCGATTCCACTGTTCTCAGGGAGTCCTGGGGCTCTCTGAGGCATCCTTAGTGAGAGGGGCGGTCAAGACAGAAACGTGAAGCTCCATCAGCCTCCCCACTCCACTTGCTGCCTTGTAGATCTCTACCAACAAACCTTCTCTGTTGGAGCGCCCACTATGTGCTGAGCCCTGGGCCGGACCTGACCCCTCCCCTCCCATCCTTCCAAACAACAAAAAAGCAAATGAGAGCATCTGTCCCAGGGCCAGCATCTAGTATTGCTCAGAGGCCCGTGGACCAACAGAAAATACGTTCCTTGACCTCAGCCTGTCATTTGGAGAAAGGAACTGAACAAGTATGACAGGGTATCACATGCTGGGTGATTCTTACAGAGCAGAAATGACATCAGCCAGCTTCTCCCAAGGTGATTTCCTGGGGGCTGTTTCTGCAGGATATCACTAGGGGTTAAGCAAAAAAGCGTGTCATGGCCAGATACACTTGGAAAACTCTACGGTAAAGTCAAGCCGGTCTCCTTCCCTGCTGATCTCAGTGCCTTTCACAGCCGGCTCCACGGAGCTAGAGAGGGGCAAGGTTTCATCTCATGCTCCGACAGGGTTGCTGGAGTTCCCTGTTTTTCAAATGAGAACTTGAGACTCAGAAGCGGCGCTTTGTCCGAGGTCACAAGCAAGTCTGTGGGAGAACCGGAGTTCACAGCCATGTCAGCCTGAGCCGTGGGCCCTTGCACTAGCCTCCTTCCTAGGTGGCTGGCAAGAGAAGATGCCCCCTGAAAGCTTCCTCTGCAGGCTTCTCTTTGGCTCTGCTCTGACTTCTGTCTTGGTCAGAGCCTCCTCTTCTGGGTGCCCCCCAACACCCAGCAGTCCCCCATATTCTCATGGAATGACTAAAGGGTATAGGCACATTCCCTCCAGTAGGCTAGCCAGAATTGGTTTCAGAATTTGCTGGTCTTCCCCAGCCTCTAGAACAAGGGAAATGAAGGGAGGTACCTGACCCAGAGCTCTTGCCTGCTTGCAGATCAAAGGCTCGTGGTCCAACAAGAGGGGTGGCGAGGCCTCTGTCAACCCCTACAGCCATAAAAGTGTTATCACCAACTGCTGTGCTGTGCTCTGTGGCCCTCTACCTCCCAGGTAAGCCAGGGGGTGCGTGGGGGAAGTCACAGGGCCTGGCCTGGCCAGTGTTGGGGGTGGGGGTAGCTCTGTGAGTCTACTCCTCTCAAAGAGGTTCTGGAATCACTGGCCTCCCCACACCAAAGATGCCCTCCATCTGTCATCCTCTGCTGTATGCATTCAGGGCACTTGTCACAGAAAGGAATTCTGTAAAGTTGTCATTTGTACTCCTGTGTGCTCATTGTAGAAAAAATTAAGTACAAAACATTAGAAAGAGTGTTAGATATCACATGTAATCTTACTTCCCAGGGATAACCACAATGAATGTTGTGTCTACCTTGAGGGACTCTGCCATCCGCTGCTGATGGCTGGACTGGGTGGAGCCTTGTCTTCCTCCTGGTGGCTCAGCTCTGCGGGGAAACGCCCCATCTGTCCGGACACCAGGGGGCGCCAGATGTCCAGACCGGGAGTTCAGTTGGATGTCTTGGGGGCGGGGTGGGGGTGGGGTAAGATTTCCCCACACCTTCCCCTCCTCCTCCTGCCCAATATCTGATATGCCTGTCACCCATCCTGCCCCTGGGGAAAGGACAGTAGGAATTGCAGGATCTCCCAATGCCCTTTCATCCTTGCTCTTCTCACCTGCAGCTTGGGAGCCTGACAAAGCCAAACAGTCTGAATTAATGGTGGATAAATTCTGTGGCTCAAAGCCAGGTATCCAGAGTAGGGAGAGGACCCTTCCAGAAAGGAAGGGTCTCGAGCCGCCAACTTGAGCAGCCTTTCTAGGGCTGGGTCTTGCCTCGTCTGGGAGATGGACCCAGCCATCCATTCCCTGGCCTAGAGCTGTGGTGTCAGGCAGGGCCCTCACGTGTCCCCCTCCTTGTCTTTTGGAAGCCTGATTGACCGGAGGGGATTTGTGCAGTCCGACACCGTGTTGCCCTCGCCCATCAGAAGCGACGAGCCAGCCTGCGGAGCCAAGCCCGATGCCAGCATGGTAGGAAGCCACCCATGAACCGGGCTCAGTACTTGCCACCTGCTGGCCTGTCTGCCCCTCCGCACTCACCTGCCACCCTCCACACCTGCCAGGACCTCCTCCCCATTCCACCCGAAGGGAAGCAGAGCCGCCCAAGACTGCTTGAGTCTTTTCGTATTTATTTCCCACCCTGCGTGGCTTTCCCCACACTGTGCCATGGCTGTACCCTCTGCTCCCCAGACCAGGTTTACACGGCCGGGGGCCCTAAATTCCCCCAGCTGGTCAGTGGCAGGAGTGACAGGAGAGAGGCCAGGGCCCCTGAGGCCGCCCAGCGGACCACGCCAAGCCTCTGCCCAGCTGTGCCCTGTGTGTGAGGCTGTGGACTGAGTGTGACGCCTCCTGGGTAGGGCAGCTGCTGAGCCGGGATCCGAGGGGTGAAGCCGGACCCAGGAGGAGTAGGCTCTGGATAACAGACGGTCAGAGAGGATGCCTCTGGGGGGCTGCTTGGGCGTCTGGGCCCCTTCCTTCTGGGATAGCCATCGTTTGTTCTTCCGTTTTTGTTTTTGTATGGAGTCGGCCAGTAGACTAGAACTGGGGCTCCAGGTAGAGAGGGCAGAGTTGGGGGTGAGTGGGGGGAGCAGCCTGCGTCAGAGGAAGCCAAATCAGCCAGCCAGGCACCCGAGACCTCAGCTCCTGCATGATTCCTGGGCAGCAGACTAGGAAGGGGGCGCCTTGCCCCACTCTGCCCACGGAGGGTTCTCCAAGGGCCCAGCCTGGCCCTTCCACCCCACCTCTCTCCCAGGTCAGGTCTGGGGATGGGCAGGTTTTACTCATGCTGGCAATACTTGAAACGGGTTTATTAATGCTGGGTATTTTGCACAATTTTATAGACTTTTTTTATACATAGCATTTTTTTATGGAAGAAAAAAAAAAGTCAGCCACATTGCTATCTATGTAGTGCCAGGTAAAAGGTTATCAGAAGGCACCTTGGTTTTAATAAGTTTATTACAAGAGACCTTCTGGCTGTGAGTGTGTGTGTGCGCGCGTGTGTGTGCTCTGGTATGAATGTGACTGCCTCCCGCACCCCCTGGGTTGCCTCACTCTCCGCCATCGCCCTTGGGTGCCAGCTAGTGGTGGCAGCAGCAGGAGCAGCCTGAGCCATGGGGACAGGGGGTGTGTGCGTTGGTCACAGGAGACCCCTGGGCTCCTGCTGCAGTCCAGCCCATCCTTCTTGCCCTCCTCCAAGGACCTCAAACAGTGGCTGGAACTCGGCCACCCAGCCCCGAGGTCAGGCTTCCAGCTGGGACCTGCCCAGACAAGCTGGGGCCTGGTCTGGTGGATGGGGTAATGGCTGTGGGGAGTGGCTGCCTTGCCACACCCCCTCCTCCGGGATCTTGAGTATGGGACCCAGTGCCAGGGGCTAGAGCATGGCCAACTGAGGGCCTCCCTCCAGGAAGGACCAGGGTGGGCTGAAATGAGTGAAGGTTGGCCTAAATCTGGGCCAGAAACTTAGAGGATGGCCCTCTTCTCCTGGGAGCGATAGTTTCTTGTCAAAATAGATAGGAAATTGTCCCTTCTTCCCCCTCCTTGGCCCTCTAAGAGGGCTGAAAAGGACATAGGAAGTCCCCGCACCTTGTCCTTCCTTGCTGCAGAGGCTGGTGGGTCACAGGCAGCTGAGAAGTCGCAGCCACCAGGAGTCCCCTCTGGGAGAAACCGCTTCGCCCCAGCCTCAGGACCCTGGGCCCTCCCTGCTGAAGTGCGAGTGAGGGGTGGGGAGGAAGCTGGCTAGAGGAGGGACTCCTACCTGCCTTTTATTTAAGCCAGTATTCTTTGTTCCTGCTTGTAATAAAATTTTTGTTTTTAAGAATTGATTTGCTTTGGTTTGGTTTTTGTTTGCTCTTTCTTTGCTGAGGCCCCAACTGGCAGCCCTCTATTCTTTCAGCCAAACATGGTCTTTCCTCTTCAGTTCAGTTCAGTAGCTCAGTCGTGTCCGACTCTTTGCGACCCCATGGACGGCAGCACGCCAGGCTTCCCTGTTCATCACCAGCTCCCGGAGCTTACTCAAACTCACGTCCATCGAGTTGGTGATGCCTGGGGAGACAGAAATAGGGCAGGCAGCCCAGTGATCCAGCTAAAATTCTCTCCTGGCTGGGGTCTGTTTGCTGGAGGCCAGGCACAGAGGGCTGTAGCTAGGCCCCCGCAGGCAGGGAAGAAAAGGCCATCCTGTCCCCTCTCCATCCCCTCTACTTTCCCCGGCCCTGGGGACTTGCGACCCCTAAGTTCTTTTTTTTCTGTCTTTCCACTCTGACCTCCAGTGACTGCTTAGCTAAGAAAATGTTTGTAAAGAAGTAGATTGCAGTTTGAGAGCCAGAGCCTCCCTGGCCCCCCACCCCAGCCTGGGCAGCAGGGCCCCACCAGACAGCTCGTAACCCTGGCCCACCTCTCTGGTATCTCCCCCAGGAGGACACCTGTCAGGATTTTGCCATCTCCTGCACAGCCTGAGGGGAGCTAACAGGCCTCTTTGCAGAGGGTTAGCTGGTAAGACTGTATCTCCCCCGTCGGCCAGCAGCACTGCCCGCTCCCCTCACACACCATACCATCCTCATCGCATGCCTCGCCGCCCCCACGGGGCCCATTCATCTGTCTGGTGTGTGGTGCAGTGTGTGTGCTGGTGGTGGTAGGGCCCTCAGGACTCCCCCCCCATCAGCGGAAGGGCCGGGGCATGGGCGCAGGGCTAGAGCCGCCCCCACCCTGGACGGAGGAAGTGGCTTCACGCAGAGCAGCTCTCCAGCTGGAGCTGGAGGTGAAGGGCGAGGTTGGGAGAGGATGGTGCACCTGCCCTGAGGCGCTGGGGCCTGCTCTTGCGGCGTCCTGGTGCACAGGGGCCCTCGGTCACTAACTCTGTGTCCTGGCTTTCTGTCCTGCTGAGCTTTTTCTCTCACCTGCCCGTTTTCTCTCCTGCTTGGTTGCCTGCTGCCTGAGCCTCGGCCCTTCTGTGGGGAAGACACAGGTGCTGGGGCCGCGCCCCCGCTCCTCCCCATCGTGCTAACCCTCTCTCTTCTCCTCCTGTGCTGTCCTGCCTGGGATCTCCAGTGTGTGCGGGGGCTTAAGGACCTCCTGAGGACCGCTGCTCTCTGCCTCTCCAGGAGCGGCCTGGGGGGAGCCAGGCCCCCGGCACCTCCACCTGCCTAACCTGTGGCCGTCTGCCACCGTCTGTGCCTACAGGGTCTGCCCCCAAGCCTGCCCCACATGTATCCTCTCTAGGGCGCCCCCCTCCCCCCGCAGAGGAGGCAGGGCTTGGCCTCTCTGCCCCCGCTCCCACTCCACGCGGCCAGAGTGTAGAAGGTCAGAAAGCAGCTGTCAGCACAATGATGTCAGACTCTGCTGAAACTCGCCCTCCCCTCCTCCACCTTCCTTCCCCTTCCCCAGATCTGTCAGGAGTCAAGACTCTAGGAATCTTGCCTTACAGCCTGCCCACCCCCAGGACCGGGCAGAGCTCTAGTCTAGCCGAGCAGGTTTCTTCAGGAGCCGTCTGGGGTGTTGATGACGCTGCTGAACAAGTTTGGTGACTGTTCTGAGCACAGCTGGTTTGACACTGTTCCCACGGCCCCCCCTGCGCCCCCCCACCCAGCGGGTAGGATGCAAGGAGGACGCTGTCCCCCTTTGCTTCAGGCTCCGAGGGTAGCGCTGACCGTCTCGAGCTCTTCAGAGGAACTGAAGGCAACCAGGCGGGCCTCGGGAATCTGCTGAGCCCATGGCGGGGTGGGGGCAGGGCTGCTGGTCTACTGTCCTGTACCTTTTTTAACCAAAATAAAGATCTCCCTCTTCTTGCCATACCTTTGAGTGTCTGGTACCACCTTTATTTGGGGTCCAGGGCTGGGGCCTGTAATGAATCTGCAGGAGAACATCTGGCTTATCCTCAATGCCTGCCTAGTCAGCTGGTCAGAGCCATTCTAGAGATTTTTAAAAAGAGGCGCAATGAAGCCAGAGGGGACACAGGCTTGGGTTGTCTTCACTCTGCCCCTCTAGAACTCCTGGTCTCAGTTCCAGAGACCTTCAAGTCTTAGCTGACCTCTGAACTTGGAGAGGTCCCAGTCCAGGCCGGGGCAGCGGGTTTAACTCCAGTCTGGGGCTGTCACACCCTGAACTGAGCACAGCCCAGGGTATTAATGGATTCTTGCCTTTCCCCAGCTGACACCCCACATCAGAACACATACACTGACCCATTCTCTCACCTAAACCTGTGAAGAAGGCGATGACAGCCTTTTTAGGAATTGCCCAGGGTCTCGCAGCTGATAAATCCAAGATCGGCACCTGCTCTTGTCTTCCCCAGTCTCAGAATTTTCTGTACCACCCAAGGATGAAGATGGCTGCTGTGGAAGGAGGGGATCTCAGAGAAGAAACCTTAATATCAGAGAATGTCATTCAGAGCTAGCAGGGGCTGAGTGATGATCTGTGTTGGCCTCCGTGAACTGATGGGGAAACTGAGGCCAAAAGACAGGAAGGGACGTGCCCAAGGCCTTATAATGGAGCTGGGATGCAGTTCCACACCCAGACCTCATTCCATTCTCTCTCTTTTTTTTCATTCCATTCTCTTTCCAGTAATTCCACACTGTGTCCTAAACTGGAATGGCCGAGGAGACATAGTAGGGTACTCTAAACAGCAGTGCCTTGAGGAAAAAAGACTCAGATAGCTGAGTCATTTAAAAGTGATCTAATATCTCGCCCAAAGACAGCCAACTAGTGGAGTGAGCTCTTAGCTGAATAACTGAACTCTTGTTCACAACTAACCATGGGAGAAGGCACCATAGTTTCCTCTCTGTCTCTCTAGTGGCTAAGTCGTGTCCAACTCTTGCGACCCCATGAACTATAGCCTGTCAGGCTCCTCTGTCCATGGGATTCTTCAGGCAAGAATACTGGACTGGGTTGCCATTTCCTTCTCCAGGGATCTTCCTGACCCAAGAATCGAACCCAGGTCTCCTGCATTGCAGGCAGATTCTTTACTGACTGAGCTATAAGGGAAGCCCTTAGTTTCCTCTAAAGCGTCTGCCTACAATGCGGGAGACCCTGGTTCAATCCCCTGGGTCGGGAAGATCATTTGGAGAAGGAAATGGCAACCCACTCCAGTATTCTTGCCTGGAGAATCCCATGGACAGAGGAGCCCGGCAGGCTATAGTCTATGGGGTTGCAAAGAGTCGGACACGACTGAGCAACTTCATTTTCACTTTCTTTCACTTTAGTTTCCTCTAGTTACCTGGTTAATTTGATCATTCCAAGACTGAAAAAAATGTCCTAGGAAGTTCACTCTGAAGTCTAACCAGCATCCCTCCTGCTGCAATCAGAGCCCTGTCCTTGTTCTCAGTGGAGGTAGATAGCAACTGGTTGATGCCTTCTCTATGCCACAACCCTTCAAAGCCTGTTATTACCAGTTAAGAAGGAGTGGTTGTCTGTGGGATGAGAGGCTTTGATCCTGCTGGTAGGAAGGATGCTCTATGGGAGGGTGGGGAGGTAGCAGGTGGGATGAGGAAAGCCCCTTTGAGCTGCAGACCCCACTCCTGCCCTGCTGACTCAGGCGGCTGACAGTGGAACTCCATGCCCTGTCAGGGCCTGCTGCCTCCTGTCTGCCTGGGCTCTGGACTTGGGAAAGGGAGGCCTGGAGGCAAAGGGAGTTGCCTGAGACAGGAACTGAGTCAGGACTGACAGGCCAGAGCGGGCAGGAGGTGTTAGGTAGCCTGGCTCCCAAATTCACCCCTGAGCTTCAGCAGGGGAGGGGAAGGAGTGACAAGGCTTCCTTTCCCCTGCCCAGCACTATGCTGAGGGCATGGAGCTTGTGGTGTGAACCACCACCAGGTCTCTGGCATGAGTGGTAGGAAGAGAAGTCTTCCTGCCTTGAGACAGAAACATCTGCAAAATTCCTAGGCCTACCAGGCCCTGCCCTCCGGGTTTCTAATGTTCTGGAATCTCCAGCTTTCCTCCAAGACCTGGGAAAGCCCGGGCTGGATGACTAGTACCAGGGAAGGTCCTCGAGGGCCCAAGACCTGTGGAGGCCAGAGAAATGTGTGAGCTGGAGAGGGTGGAGGTAGTGCTGTCAGACTGCCTCTGACCATTCATTCGTCTCTCCAGTTGGGCAGGGTCTGGCCTTTGGTTGAGACTTGGTTTGGGGCCCTTCCTTATTTCATAGAAACCCGCTCCATATGAATGCTTCGAGTGTGCATGTTTATAATAATGTTTGGTTTTCTTTTCCCATGATATTAATAGTTACCATCCACTCTGCTAAGTGCTTTCCATCAACTCATTTAATCCTCACAATAAGCCCCATTTTTATTCAGGAAAATTGAGGCTCATAAAGGCCAAGTCACTTACCCAAAGCCACAGCAGCTTGTAAGAACTGAACCCAGGCAGTCTGATTCCAAGATTGTAGGCTGTTCTGTCATAGAAAAATAATAACACATTCACCATTGATAACCTGAAGATACTAGGAAAATCAAAGGAAAAAGAAAAACCCACTTAGAATCCTACTACCTAAACATACACTGTAAATTGGTATTCTGATATGTTTCTTTTTCATTGTTTTCTGTGTCAATGAGCTGATTTAGGCAAAGCCTTCAGGATGGCAAGCCTAAAATCCCTTCTGCTTGCTTCCTTGGAAAACATGGCATCAGCTCAGACACGTCCCTACTTTTCCTTCATAAGAAGCAGATCTCATCTCTGGGCCTCAGAGTTCTGGCCTAAGCCTCCCTCCAGGAGGAGAGGGTGGGTGTTCAGACACCAAGAGGAACTGGGGAGGGACAGGCTTGTGAAATAGTCCTGGTTCAAGCATTAAACTGGCTGGATCCCAGAGAGAGAAGCCCTGACCCAAGCCCCATCTGAGCTTTGGCTAGAGGTAGAGCAGACAAGCAGGAACCCACCCTCCTAGGTGCAATGCCAACACCTTTAGGTGAAAATTTCAACTGACATGGAGACAGGGTCTCAGTGAACAGGAACAGAAGATTGGCAGCAGAGAAGTCTCCATCTCTGAGGCTTCTGCCAGGAATCAGAAGTGGGGCCGTGGTCAGAGGGAAGGGGCAGGGAAACTTCTGAGAGGCAGGCTCACTCAGCTGGGAGGGGGAGGGGAAGGCAGCACTCAGCTGGGACTGCTGCCCCATAAAACAAAATGACATGTGTTACAGCCACCTCCATCTTCTTGGTCCTGTCTTTCACCCCAGTTGCTAGCATTTCCCCCCCTCCTGGTACCCAGCTGGGCAGGGCACCCAGGTGGCCTGCATCCCTGCCTCTGACAGAGGGCGGGGCTGAGTTAGACAGGAAAGTGGAACAGCCAGTGAACTGGGTACCCACCCTCTGTGCGCCCCACTGACACATGACGGCAGACAGAGGGGGCAGGTCACCTGGTGTGGACAGCCAGAGGGTAAGTCCTCAGACAAGTGGCAACAGGCCACCAACTTGAAAGGGAAAATTGTGCTGTGATGGGGAAGGTATCCAAAAAACCTACTGGGTGACTAATTACAAAGGCTGGGCCACAGCGTCAGAGGCCGCTCGTTAAACACCTCATTAAGTGGCACCCTGAAAGCTGCCACTTGTGCATTCTGGGAGCTCAGAGGGGACAGGACCCTGAGGAGGAGTGAGGGGTGGGGGGTAGAACATTTCAGGCAGACTCGGGAAGAAGCCTGCGTGTCACTTTAAAATAGTCTGGAACTCAAAGGTCAAAAGACTTGATGGGAGCAAAGCCAAATTTAGTAGCTGTGTGACTCTGAGCAATTCTCATCTCTCTCTGAGCCTTAGTGTTCCCATCTCTACAGTGGGAGTAGTAGTCATAGACCTGCCCATTTCACATAGACATAGCAGGTTAGAATAAGTTAGATCATGGGTATGAAGGCACTTAGGAAACTACCGCCCTATCTATAAACAGTTATCTCACCTGAACCAATGGGGGAAACATACCTGGCAGGGCTGGGAACCCCATCCTCTTGCACCTGGCTTTACGGGCGCCTAGACCCATAGCGACCAGGTAGTTGAAGCCATCCTCAACCCCTGGAAGAACACGGTGAAGGAGGATCTGATTTGAGAAACTGGGACAGCTACCTACGGTAGGCATGTAATAGAAGCCCTGAACCAGAGGGGGCAGCCTGGGGCCTGGAAAGGTGTCGGTGCAGGTGAGGCCAACGCCCAAATCTCTCCCGCTGACAGTCCGGATGACTCACCCCCGGCCCCCGCTCCCCTACCCCCCATCCCAGCCCTTTTACCTTTAAGGAAGAGCCGGAAAGGGTGTGGGGGCGAAGAGGAGAGGGAGGCAGGTCCAGGGCCCTAGCCCCGCCCTCTGCCCCTCCCACCCTTCTCTGGGCCTGGCCTTCCAGCCAAAAGGCGGGCAGAGAGCAGGAGAGGCACAGAACCCGGCCTTGGTTCCGAGGCAGCCAGTTAGCCCGCCGCCTGCCTGTCTGCCTGTCCCCAGAGCCATGGAGAGAGCCAGTCTGATACAGAAGGCCAAGTTGGCCGAGCAGGCCGAACGCTATGAAGACATGGCAGCTTTCATGAAGAGCGCCGTGGAAAAGGGTGAGGAGCTATCCTGCGAAGAGCGCAACCTGCTCTCAGTGGCCTACAAGAACGTGGTGGGTGGCCAGCGGGCGGCGTGGAGGGTCCTGTCCAGTATCGAGCAAAAGAGCAATGAAGAAAGCTCGGAAGAGAAGGGCCCGGAGGTGCAAGAGTACCGGGAGAAGGTGGAGACGGAGCTCCGGGGCGTGTGCGACACGGTGCTGGGCTTGCTGGACACCCACCTCATCAAGGAGGCCGGTGACGCCGAAAGTCGGGTCTTCTACCTGAAAATGAAGGGCGACTACTACCGCTACCTGGCTGAAGTGGCCACTGGCGACGACAAGAAGCGCATCATCGACTCAGCCCGGTCGGCCTACCAGGAGGCCATGGACATCAGCAAGAAGGAGATGCCGCCCACCAACCCCATCCGCCTGGGCCTGGCCCTGAACTTTTCCGTCTTCCACTATGAGATCGCCAACAGCCCCGAGGAGGCCATCTCGCTGGCCAAGACCACCTTCGACGAGGCCATGGCCGACCTGCACACCCTCAGCGAGGACTCCTACAAAGACAGCACTCTCATCATGCAGCTGTTGCGAGACAACCTGACGCTGTGGACGGCCGACAACGCCGGGGAAGAAGGGGGCGAGGCTCCCGAGGAGCCCCAGAGCTGAGCCGCACCTGCTGCGTGCCCTGCCCTGCCCTGCCCGCTCCAGTCCCCCACTCCCGGCAGAGAGGACTTGTATGGGGTGGGAGGCCCGACCCTTCTCCCCAAAACGCTCTGGCCCAGCTCAGAAAGGCTCCATAGAGAGGAACCAATGGAGCCGAGGCCCCCTGAAGCCAGAGGATTCCATGCTTCCTGCAGCCGTCAGGTGCTCCTGGCCACTGGTCATCCCATCCAGCCCTGCTCTCTGTCTCCACCCCCGACCCCCACCCCAGACCGACCCCCACCCCGAACCTGACCATTTCCTCCCCACTCCAACCCCCTCCTGCCCCTGCTACCTATGGATCTTAGGAATTGAGGAGTGTCCCATCTTTGGAGCTGAAAACTGAACTGTGTGGCAGAGGTTGGTGATGAAAGTGTGTGTGTGTGCCTGTGCGTGTGTGTGTGTGTGTGTGTGTGTGCAGCAACCAAGACCCAGGATGAGAGGGAAAGCATGTCTGCTGGGTGTGACCATGTTTCCTCTCAATAAAGTTGCCCTGTGACACTCCGTCTGTCTTTTTCAGTTATTGCGGAAGGGCGGGACAGGGATTGGTGTGTCAGTTACAGAGACCCTGACCTTCACGGGGCTGGCTCAGTGACCTGCAAGCAAGACTCTGGAGCCAGGAGAGAGGCTGGGGATCCAGCTCTCTCCATCAGGGTCTGGTCTGGTCCCCTCAAACTGGTCCGATCCCAGGAGGGTCGGGTGAGCAGCGCAAAGGCGGCTTGGAGACTCCTCTGCCAGGAACGCGGGGTGGGAGGTTGAAGCGCTCAGGTGTGAGGGGACAGTCTCAGGTGTGAGGTCGGAGGGGTATGCTGCAGTGAGCGGCACTCAGCACCTCAGACCTGAAAGCGGGAAAGAGTCCCATCAGATCTGAGCGGAGGGAAGTATCACCAGGGGCCTAGTATGACGCCGCCATTAAAGCTCAGGTCTGAGGAGAAGACCGCCTTCCAGCATTCGGAGATGGGGACAAAATAAAACGGGCCATTGACGAAGAGGCACAACTTGAGTGGGAAGGGCCGCCGGGAGCGGGTTCGGCCGTGGCGGGCCAAGCCCACCGCCTCCGCACCTCAGCTGGCAGCAGCGACGCTCCTTGGCCTGCTGCCGCCTAGTGACACCCCGCCTTCACAGCCTGAGGCCAGAGGCGGGCCCTAGGCTGATGTCATCCAATCACGGGAAGGAGCTGCCCAGGGTACCGCCCCCAGGGCCAGACTGACCAATAGGAGAAGGAGCGGCGGAACGCGCTGGGCGCATCTTCCCATCGCCAGCCCGGTCCTGCAGGCGCCCGGACGCGAAGCCGGGGGAAGAGGCCCCCGCCACCCCCTGAGTGCCAGGGGCGGAGCTTTCCCGGTTTCACTCGGACGAGTTGCCACCCGCCCGACCCGAGAGCTCTACATCCTCAGAGCAGCGGGACGGGGCGGGGTGGTGCGGGAAAAGCAGTCCCCGCCCTCTGAGTCATCCGCTCAAACGGCGGTGCCTGGGCCTGGCCTGGCTGGCAATATGGGCTGGAAAAAGGCCACCAAGGTGTCTCCATCGCACTCTGGAGCCCAAGAAGCCCTGACCTGGTGGCCAGGAGGCTTGGATACGACCCTCACTGGCTTTGCAACCTTGTGCTATGTGCTTGGTCGCTCAGTCGTGCCCGACTCTGCGACCCTATGGACTGCGGCCTGCCAGGCTCCTCTAGCCATGGGGATTCTCGGAGTGGGTTGCCATGTCCTCCTCCAGAGGATTTTCCCAACCCGGGGATGTAACCCAGGTCTCCCGCATTTACAGGCGGATTCTTTACCGACTAAGCCACCAACCTTGGAAAAGTCATTAACCCCCTCGGGCCTCAGTTTCTCCTTCTGTATCATAAGGGGCTTGAACTAATGGCTTTTTAGTTTGACTCCAAGCCTCTTTGGCCAGGGTTCTTAACCATGCTTACCTTTTGTCCTCATTTGTGAAGTGAGGATTGAAAAACAGTACCTTCCTCTTAAAAGTTGCTGTGAAGTTTGAGAAAAATAAATGTATGTAAAGTAGCCCATCATACATATTTAATACGTGTTACCTATTATTAATCCTTCCAGTATCAGTAGTCCAGGATTTATCTAGCATTTCTGTGCCAAAAGCAGAATAATCAGGCCCAGTCCTGAGAAGCAGCTTTACTGCCAAAGTCAACCTGCCTAATCACTGCATCACCTGAGAATACTGGCCTGACATCAAGTGGTCAGTCTTTCACCTGATAATATTGGGGGAACTGAGTCCAGCCTCATCAGGTTCCCCGGAGTCCAAGTTTGATCACACTCATGGACTAAAAGGCTCTTATCAGAACTACTAATTCTTCAGGGGAAGCTGGTAGGACCACTCAGATGCTTTCTGGGTCCCTTGTTTTCTCTTTTCAGAGGGGTATTAGGTGTTAAGGTTTCAAACAGGTCAAAGACTCTGGGAAAGAGCAGGTGACTTCCTCTTAGCTTTGGAAGTGACCTGGTTTCTCTTATCAGACAGGTCTGGTGACTTTCTCTTAATGAGGTAGGTCCTGGGAAAGCAAATTCTTTTCTCTCAGCATTTGGCTTTTGCCTACTCCCTTTACACCACCCATGGTTGCCCTCTAAGGTAGCGTGTTGGTGTTGACAGATTTTAAAAGCAGATGCTATGGTTTGGAATAGCACAGCACAGCTAGCTGTGAGCTGCCTTAGGCACCAGCTTCTGAATTGGGTCCCAGAACTTTCTATCTAAAACTTTCTTAAGGTTACTCAGGGTGGGGCCTGAGTGAGCATTTCTGGTCATCTTTTCCTGGCCTAAATTTGACATTTAAAATTTTTCAGTTCTATACAACCCAACACTGTATATCAACTGTACTTCAGTAAAATTTTTTTAAAAATTATTTTTTTCAGTTCTGCTGCTGGTGGGTATGAAATTTCTCTTAGGGTGATAAAATCTTCTTGGATTTAAATAGTGGTGATGGAGTAGGAAATGGCAACCCATTCCACTGTTCTTGCCTGGGAAACTCCACGGACAGAGGAGTCTGGCAGGCTACAGTCCATGGGGTAGCAAGGAGTCAGAAAAGACTGAGTGACTGAACATGCAACATGATGGTCACACAATTTTGTGAATATATGGGGAAAAAAAACAACACTGAACTGTGAACTTTGTAGTAAATTTTATGATCTGTGAATTATGCTCAATTAAAAAAAAAAACACACAACAGTCCCAGAGGCAAAGTCGGTAAGAATGCAAAGTTCCAATGGAAATTTCATGATGGCCACTCTTCTTTTCTCATCGTCCTCTCCACTTGAGCACTTTCTTCTAAACTTTTCCAAATTTTAGAGCCATCTTCAGGTCAAAAAATGACTAGCCACCATTCCTTTCCCTTTAACACATACCGAGCGTTGGATATGCTACCTAGTCTATCAACTCTTTTCACTTCTTAGGTATATTTATTCAGCCATGGTTTCGTATCTATTTGGTTCTACCTGTAGCTTTGCAATTATGTCCTGGGTTTATTTTTTTAACTCCCCAGAGAGCTCCCTTAAAATGGTAACGTTGTCCCATTACTCCTCCTTTCTTCCCACAGTGTCTCCAGCAAGGTTTTGTGTACTGGAAGGAGTTCAAAACTTAGTTTTATTTATTTATTTTTTTTTCAAAACTTAGTTTAAAAATCATCCTTCCAAATGCCTGGAAACCAGGTTAGTACCAGGTCCTCTATTGTGGAAATGGAAATACAACTAGTTCTGGGATAAAGCGAGGCTGTATAGACAGAGATTGGGCTCACCAAGAGTCAAGTAAACAGAGTCCTACCCTTTCTGCATTGCTGGATAATCCCCCAGGAAACAGAGACCCAGGGTTTACAAAGATCTTCCTCTGCCAAGAATTTGCCTTGTATGGGGAAAATTTGCAACCTAAGATTTCTTGAGAAGGTATCTACTCTTCTCTGTCTTACATGTAGTTACTTTAGAGAGTAAAGTTCAAATTGGCTCTGTCAATCCACAGGAGTAGGTGATGGGAAGCAAGGCGTAGGGGTTAAGGTACTTTATCAGGACTAAATAGGCACCCTAGGAAGGCCAAGGCACTGGGGTCAGGCGGGCTACTGTGGCTCCTTCCAAAAAGGCAGAAAGGCAAGAGATTCACACACAAACTTACATACTGCCCAAGTGTCCAGTGCCTTTTTGGAAAAACTTAATTTCAGATGCTTGCACCAAGATTGCTCTTCTGACCAAAAGTCCCTATTCCTGCTTCTTCCTAGAGTACAGAATACAGTTGTAAGAGCACACAGTATGACTGCTATATGCCAGGCAGTTTCATACCTTAATCCTCACATATTACCTCCTTTGTTTTGTTTATGAAGAGACTGAAGCTCAGAGCAGCTAAATAACCTAATAATCAAGGTTACACATGACTTACGTGCTCGGGGAGTAGAACAGGTTCAGCTCCAAGGCTCATGATTTTTAAACCACAACAGCTGTTTTCAAACTTTGTTCAGAGGTTTCCCCAGGAGCTGCCACAGGGCAGGGGCCCAGTGGTCAGGGGTTCCCCAGTTTCCCCACACTTTGGCTAAAATAGCCACACATATGCCTTTTTTGTATATTGGGAGTTTCATGAGTTAAAAATACATTTGAAAAGAAACACCTTATGCTATGTTGTCCTGCTCCTATCTTGGACTTTCTAAGAATCAAGAGAGGCTTCTTACTCTACTTAATCTAAAGCCACCCCAGGGCCCGACAGAAAGGAGTTGTTTTAAATGAGAAAAAAATGGGTAGTGGACCAATTTCCTGGCTTGTTCATCAAGTTAAGGTTTCCTTAACCTGGTTACATCTTCTGCTCCTTTTCAATTCTTCACCCTGTTCTTAGGGTCTTCACCCCCAGCCCTGCTGTGTGTAGGAGGAGCAGGGTTGAGGAAAGCAGGATTCTGCAGGGATAAATCCCCCTTCCTTTCACAAACCCCCCTAGCCTCACCTACCCACTGAGTCAGGAGCCAGGAATGTCTGTGGGGGCAGCAGACAGCTATATTGTCCTGGGGTTGTCAGAGGGCTGATTCATCTCTCATCTCCACCCAATCTTCCCCTTACTGCTCTCTGAAAATTTTTAACTCCTTTTTTTTGGCCGTGGCTTGCAAGATCTTAGTTTTCCTCCACCGGGGATTTGAACCTGGATCTGCTGGCAGTGAAAGCTCTGAGTCCTAACCACTGGACTGCCCAGGAATTCCGGAGAAATATAGAGATTTTTGCCTAGAGATAAAAGAAGAAACCCCAGACTCTGAAAACACAGAGTCTTCAATCTGTGGCTAGATACAGTGTTTAAAAATACATCAGATTATGGTATCCAATAAATATTTGTTAAAAGAGAAGGCAAGAGGAAGATACATTTTTCCCTTTTCTTCCTCCAGACTAAAGTTAACCTGAAATTTCCTTGTCTGACTGTAAAGGGGACTGGTTTTTAGCTCAGAATCGATGATTTGACCACTGGTGTGACTTACGAGTTGTCCCAGTATGCCTCCTTTGCTGTTTCTGTGACCCCACAGAGCAATATGGAGGTTCCAGGATTAAATTACAGGCAGAGGTGACAATCCAGAGTGAAGGGAGCGCTAGGGAACATTTCTTGAAGCCGTATTTGCACAGCGAGCACACCACTTTAGATTTGCTTATTTGGGATGACTTTCAAGGGCCCTCTCATCTCCCTCCTCTGTAACTGCTTCAGGGCTTTGGATGGGGAGAAGAATTTCAACTTTTCCGTGTTCTAGTCCAGAGCATTTTACCAGTACTCATATTTTTCACCTCACTGGGCTACAAACCCCCAGCCTATCCCTTCACAGCCCCTCAGTCTTAGGTCACTTGGAACTCGGGCTTCTGAGGTTGTGTGCAGCTGGCCGGACATGAAGGACACAGTGGGTTGGAAGTGAGGTATATGGCTCTCTCCTACCCTCATTCAAGCCTGATGCCACTGACGTCTGTGTCATCTGGGACTCAAAGGGGACAGGAAGAAGAGGTGAGCAGCCCAGACCTTGTTGAGTAAAAGGTTCAACAACCAGGAGCAAGAGAAGAAAAAGGAGAGGAGAGCTACTCAGCTTGATAGGGAATTTCCCGCCAGGATTCTGAGGTGGGTAGGCCTCCCCGCTTCTTTCAAAAAACAGGGTGGGCCTGAGTGGTGCTGGGAAGTCACTCCCATCCCTGTCAGAAGCCTTGAAAATCTCTCATACCCTGACGGGAGCCTCGTCTCCCCACAGACCCTGATGGGGTCAGGCTTCCTCTTCTCAGCCCACTGTGGCGCGCGTTTTGCTACTTGAGCAACAAACAGCAGACGGCGACTGGTTGTGCTTCAGCTCTGTGGGCTTTAGGGTGTCACCCTCACTCCTCAGCCTTTTTGTCCGGGCTGGAAGGCTTTCCAGTGAGCTGTGGTCTCTGAAAGTTTCTAAATGCTATCTTCTGACTGTTGGAGGTTCCCAATTCAGAGCCAGGAAATGCACAGAATAGCCCAATGTCAGTGGTTAGCAGAGATGACCAGGAAGGTCCCTTGGAAGACACTCAGGGATGGTTCCCTCCCTTCAGAAGTCCCGATTGCCAGGTGAGGTTGGGGCTGAGAAGAGCACTTCCAGACAGGGCGAGATGTAAGCTGGCACTTTTCTGGGAGGCATTTTGGGAATATGAACCCAGAACCTAGAAAATGTTGGCAATTTTATTTCTAGGACTTATGTATCATAAGTTAAAAGTCAGAGACTCAGACAAAGATGTTAATCACAACATTATTTACAATAGCAAAAAACTGGCAACAACTTAAAGGCTAACCATGTCAGTCTGGATAAACAATGTTTTAACCATACTGTAGAATATTATCATGTAGACATTAAAAAGGTTTTTCTAGTTTTCAACAAGGACCATACAGCACAGGGAGCTTTGCTGAATATCATGTGGCAGGCCTGGATGGGAGGGGAGTTTGGGGGAACATGTGTATGTGTATGGCTGAATCCCTTTGCTGTCTACCTGAAATTATCACAACATTGTTAATCAGTTATATTCTAATATAAAAGTTAAAAAAAATTAAAAGATCTTTCTAGTTCTAATTACATGAAAAAATATTAACTGAAAAAGCTTATAAAGCAATAACAATATATCCCACATATATAAATGCTATAGCTATCCCTCTGGATGTATAGAAAAATAGACTGAAAGAAAAAACACAAAATATATTTATACATTTGAATAGAAAATTTATTACTTTCATTTTCCAAGTGTTTTCTATTAGGGGGAAAAAAAAGAAATCTTAAGGACAGTTGTCACTTGCTGCCAAATTGAGGGTAGTCCTTCTCCGGTGGTTTAGTCGCTAAGTCATGTCTGACTCTTGCGACCCCATGGACTGTAGCCTGCCAGGCTGCTCTGTCCATGGGATTCTCCAGGAAAGAATACTGGAGTGGGTTGCCATTTCCTTGTCCAGGGAATCTTCCCAACCCAGGAATCGAACCCAGGTCTCCTGCATTACAGGCAGATTCTTTACCGACTGAGCTACAAGAGAAGCCCTAAAGTGAAAGTCACTCAGTCATGTCCGACTTTTTGTGACCCCATAGACTATACAGTCCATGGAATTCTCTAGGCCAGAATACTGGAGTGGGTAGCCTTACCCTTCTCCAGGGGATCTTCCCAACCCAGGGATTGAACCCAGGTCTCCCGCATTGCAGGCGGATTCTTTGCCAGCTGAACCGCAAGGAAAGCCCAATCTTTCTCTGACCCTACATATTTCACAATGAGCAGACCTCACCTGGAACCCAGATGCTTCTGCTTTTCTGCATTGGCTGTCCACCCCCAGTCATAACAGGGGAGTAGAAAATTATGTTGCTATCAGTGGGAAGTGGTCAGAGCTCCATTCATTGGAGGAAAAACACCCTTGTTGGCATACCAAGGCCTGAAAATAAAGCTTGGAGTATTTCCATCTTTCTCCACTCGGGTGATGCTGAGGGTGCTTACACGAGGCCATAAAGTTCTACGTGACGCCTTTCTTCCATCTGGTGTGCTTTGGTGGTGGCTGGGGCCTCTAGTTCGAGGTAAGCATCAAAACCCCTGACCACAGCTATTGGTACCAGCTTCAAACACATAGCAACCACCCTCACGCCTTAACTGATGAGGGATTTGTCCAAGAGCCTGGGCGTCATGATTCCCGGGCTCCAAGCCTCACAGGTGACTCACAGACAGCCCCAGGCTGTGCCTCCTGGCCTCAGTTTCCCTGGCTTGCCCTGTTGATACTCCCCACCTACTGTGTACAGTGTTAATAGGGGTGAGGTGCTTTGAACTCCTCAGATGAAAGAGGCGGGGGAAGTAGCACCCAGTTATTATCCTGTATCCCGCCAGGCGTGGGAGTCGAGGTCGACTGCTTTCACACCGTTCCAGTCCAAAGAGCCTCCTTATAGCCCCTTCCTCTCTGCCTTCTGCTCTGATGGCCAAAACTAAGAAAGCAAAGCTCAGTCACCCCCATCTCAAGGCCACTTCAGAACACTTTTCCTAAGTTGAATTCCCTACCTGTCCAAATCACCAGTCATCTACATCCCCCCTGACTTACAACTCAGGAATACTCTACAGGTGTCTAAATTCTTTCTCCTGACTGGCTACAAACCCTGTGGGAGAAGGGGTCGTGACTTTTCACCACTAAGGACTCACCATATAAGAAGTCAGCAGAGCGAGTGTGAGAGAGCCAGGCTGACCAAGGTCCAGACTCCTCAGTTTTCTGTTTCCTCATGTAAAGTGGGGCTTAGCACTATTCCCCATCTCATCTGTATCCCTAGGCGTTCCTGTGAAAGTCATATGAGGACTGTCTGTGTGGAAGCTCTTTGTGATATGTGAAGCCCATCCCATGTGTTAACAGGCCTGAGTGTCTGCAAATAAGACTACTGGCACAACTGCCATCTGTCCCCTTCTGCCTCCAGGCTACAACTGAAAGAAAATTAAAATTTAAAAAAAAAAAGAAGAAAAAAAGAAAGCCTGGGGCGCCACCTACTGGCTGAAAATACGAATTGCACCCAACCTGCTGCAATGGCAAAGAAGCTAGTACCCGTATTTCCAACCTGGAGTCATCGTAATTTTTGCCACGGCCTTCATGATACCATATTATATACTGGTGGCTTTTCTTTCAACAACTCATTTTGTATAAATAACTTCATTTTAAAATCAACTTTAATCATTACTATAAATGGAAAACTAATTAACACTCGCCCCTCAAAAGAATAAAACTGTGAAATAAATACAATGAAAATATAACATTGTGAGATCTGCTGGGAAGTGGGGCTTGTGAAAGCTCAGGCTTGAGTTCACTGTTAGTGCTGAAGACGAACAAATCAGCCATGATCCTGGGCTTGGGGGCAACACTGCCCTGGAATAACAAGAAACAGGTCTCTTCTGAGGAAAGGTGGCCTTCCCACGTTCCCACCTCCCTTGGCCAGGGTGGCGGAAGCAAAGTTTGGAAGCCACAAGAAGTAGAAAATAAGCTCTTATATTGCAGCACATTCCATCACAGCCTGAGTGGGTCAGTACTGAATGCCTGGTGGCAGCGCCCAAAGCTCACAAGGGTGCTCTGCTTGGCGACACGTCTGGCTTCAGGCCAGAAGTCCTCCACAGGCCTGAATATCCCCTTGCCCGTCTCCTAGCTCTGGCCTGGAGAGCTGCTCTTGGATCTGCAGCCGCTGAGCTGTCCAGCAGGTTACTGGGAGCCGCCACTCTCCCCAGTGCTGGGTCATGTGTCTTGTCCTCTGGAACCCAGCTTGCTGCTATAGCTGCATGGCCTCCTGCTCCACTGACTGCTCTGAGGGCTCCAGGTACTTCTCCTGGAGGCCCAGGGTGCTGATGGGGTGGCTTGTCAAGGCTGATAGCACAGGCAAGGATGGGGAACTGGTCTGGGCAGGATCTGATCTCTTGTGATGCCTGCCTCCCAGCTGTGTCTGGCAGGTTCCTCCCATCCTGTTCCCTTCCTCATAATTATAGCTTCAGGCCACAGGGACCAACTGGTCTGAGAAGTCCCTTGAAGCATCTAGACCCACATGCTCCTCTTCGTGCCTTTTCCCCACACTGCTGAGCAGCAGAGGACTGGAGTGCGCCAACCTTCCGGCTCTATGCTGTGGCACACGCTCTGGAGCCGTGCCCCTCAAACATGGCACAGCCCTCAGCTCCCATCCCCACTACCCACCTGACAAACCTGCCCTCTCCTCTTCCTTTTCTTGCTTCAGTGAGCACCACCACCCCTGAAAAGTCAAAGCGTTAACTGCTTAGTCGTGTCGGACTGTGACCCCATGGACTACAGTCCATCAGGCTCCTGTGTCCATGGAATTCTCCAGGCAAGGATACTGGAGTGGGTAGCCATGCCCCTCCAGGAGTCGGACCCATGCTCCTCCAGGAGTCGGAGGTTTTCCCCATCCAGGGATCAAACCTGCATTGCAGGCACATCCTTTACCATCCAAGCACCAGGGAAGCCCTACAACCACCCCTACCACCTGGGAGTCTAACTTCTGCTCCACCTCCTTCTATCCTATAACCACCTGGTCACCAGCTCTGGTTGTCTATCTCCTTAGTATTTTTCCCAGGCCACACCCTTTTTTCTATTCTCACTAACAGTTCATCCGTTCTGACCTGGAGGCTAAAAACGCTCCTGCTCCCAATCACATCCCTTAAATGCACTTTCTGTACTTAGAGGTGCTTTTCAAAAATGGACATCTGATCGCATCATGCTCAGCTCATGGGTAGGATGCTGGTTCCCACTGGCCACCCACAGACCGAAGTCCACACTCCGCCACTGCCCACTTCCCTTGAGCACTGCATCTCCCCTTCTCCTTCACGTTCAAGACACCAGGCAAACTGAAGTCCCTGTGTCTCTCCCTAGTGACCAGTGCCCTTTCATGGCTGGGCCTCTGTATTTGTTGCTCCTTCTGATCAATGTCCTCCCTTATCCTCAGGTACAGACAACCCTGAAACCTTCTAAGGGACCAGCCACCAGGGAACCCCCTGGTCAACAGGAAACCAGCCTCCATGGTGGAGGCTAGTGAGGAAGGATACGAGGAGAAGTGGAAGTCAGCTCCCATGGCGGCAGACATCATGGCCTCCAGGCTCCGCTGCTCCTGGACCCCAAAGCAGTAGCCGTTGGCTTTGTCCACAGCCTGCAGCACCCGCTGGATACTCTCCTTATCCTGAGCGGGGAGGAGAGAAACAGAGGTATGTGGAACTGAGGTTGAACCAAACCAACTGCATTCTCCAAATATGCCCCCTCCATCTTGCCTTGTGACGCCTCTAGTCCATGCAGCTTCCTTGGCCTGGAATATATCTACAGTGTCCCCAGAGGCCCGGCTACACCCCATCTTTCCTGACTACCAGCTCACCCAAATTAGAACAGATAAGCTCCTCCATGCACACTCACCATCCCCTGGGTTTATCCCTACTGTAGCTATGAGCCTACCATCTTACGATTAGCTAGTTAGTAATTCCCCCACTGGACTGTGCACCCCTTGAGGTCAGGAACTTGTTTGCCCAGGCATCCCCAGTGCCTGGCATAGTACTGAGCTAACAGCAGGCACCCAGTAAACATGCATGTAACTTATTTGTTCCTTCATATAAAAGTGGTAAGGATGGTCCCTACATCACATGATGGGAAAGAGATCAAAACAGTGCATGTAACAGTCCTTAGCACACACACACAAAATGTCTAATACAGAAAGCCTTCAACAAGTTGTAAATTGTACGATTAATATTATAGGGTTCACCTCCTCATTGTAGAGGAGAAAAGTATGGCATTAAACAGAAGAGACAAGTTCTTTTAAGTCAGCAGAAAGGAATCTAACACGCACCTTTGTCTCCCAGGTTCCCTTTGCAGGGTACAGGGTGAGAGGCACAAGGGTTGGGTACTACTTTGCAAAGTCAACAGACAGTTGCATCTGGAAAGAGCCTAAAAGACTTGTCCCTGGCCTTGGGCAAGTCCCTGGCTGGGGACTTTCTGAACTCATCCATTTTCACACAGAGGAGGTAACATACGTGGAGAGAACCCAGCAAAACAGAACAGATAGGGCCAAAGTCTGGTCCATCCTCTTTACCAGTCCATCCCACTGGTCTTGAAGCCAATGAGACTGAATGATAGCTGGACCCAGGACAAAGACCACTGTTTGAGGCCTCAAAGCCTCCTATCTCCTTGGTCTGGAAGTGAAGTTCCAGGCACTTCAGAGCCAAAAGCCAAGGGAGGAGTCCTTCTAGTGCCTAGTACAAGCACACCTCAGAGATACTGTGGGTTGGGTTCTAGAGTATTCCAATAAAGCAAATCCCACGATCAAGTGAGTCACATGAATATTTCGGTTTCCCAGTGCATATAAAAGTTGTGTTTATGCTATACTGTAGTCTACTAAGTGTACAATAGCATTATGTCTAAAAAAAAAATACATACCTTAATCAAAAAGTACTTTATTGCTAAAAAATGCTAACTATCATCTGAGCCTTCAGTGAGTCATAATCTTTTTGCCTGTTGAGAGTCTTGCCTCCATTTTGAAGGCTGCTGCCTGATCAGGGTTGGTGGTGGCTGAAGGCTAGGACGGCTGTGGCAATTTCTTAAAACAAGACAACAGTGAAGTGTGAAGCATCAATTGATTCTTCTTTTTATGAACCATTTCCCTGTAGCATGCAATGCTGTTTGACAGCATTTAATCGCATGACAGTAGAACTTCTTTCAAAATTGGAGTCAGTCCTCCGAAGCCCTGCTGCTACTATATCAACTCAGTTCATGTGATATTCTAAATCCTTTGTTGCCATTTCATCCTTCACAGTATCTTCACCAGTAGTTTCCATCTCAAGAAACCACTTGCTTTGCTCATCCCTGAGAAGGAACTCACCCATTCAAGTTTTTTCATGAGATCGCAGCAATTCAGTCACAGCTTCAGGCTCTTCTAATTCTAGTTCTCTTGCCATTTCTACCAATCTGCAATTACGTCCTCCACAGAAGATTTGAACCTCAAAGTCACCCAAAGGGCTGGAATCAATGTCTTCCAAACTCCTGTTAATGTTGACATTTTGACCTGTTCCCATGACTCACAGACGTTCTTAATGACATCTAGAATGGGGATCCTTTCCAGAAGATTTTCAATTTACTTTGCCCAGAACCACGAGCCGAATCACCATCTATGGCAGCTACACCCTTCAGAAATGTATTTCTTAAATACTAAGACTTGAAAGTCAAAATGATTCCTTGATCCACGGGCTGCAGAATGGATGCTATTTTGGCAGGCATGAAAACATCTCCATCACAGCCCTTGAGTGAATAGGTGTCTTGTTAATGAGCAGTAATATTATGAAAAGTATCTTTTTTTCTGAGTAGTAGGTCTCAATAGTGGGCTTAAAATATTTAGTGAAACATGTATATAGATGCGCTGTCATCCAGGCTTTGTTGTTCCATTTACAGAGCACAGACAAAGTAGATTTAACAGAATTCTTAAGGGCCCTAGGATTTTCAGAATGGTAAATGAGCTCTGGCTTCAACTTAAAGTCACGAGATGCATTAGTCCCTAACAAGAGGCAGCCTGTCCTTTGAAGCCAGGCACTGACTCCTCTCCAGCTACAAAGTCCTAGATAACATCTTCCAGTAGAAGGCAGTTCTGTCTACACTGAGAATCTGCTTAGTAATGCCACCTTCATTAATTATCTTAGCGAGATCTTCTGGGTAATTTGCTGCAGCTTCTCCTTAGCACTTGCTGCTTTACTTACACTTTCATGTTACCAGGGTGGCTTCCGTCCTTAAACCTCAGGAACCAACCTCTGCAAGTTTCAAACTTTTCTTCTGTAGCTTCCTCACCTCTCAGCCTTCAAAGAACTGGAAGAAGTTAGGAAGGGCCTTGCTCTGGATTGGGCTTTGGCTTAAGGAAATGCTATGGCTGGTTTGATCTATTCAGACCTCTAAAACTTTCTCCATATCAGCTTTCTGATATGCTGAAAGATTTCTGTTGTGCTTTCTTACCACTCCTGTGTTTCCTGATTTCCTTCATGAATTTTTCCTTTGCATTTACAACGTGGCAAACCATTTGGCACCAGAGGCCTAGCTTTCGGCCTTTCTTAGTTTTTCGACATGCCTTCCTCACTAATTTTAAGTATTTCTAGCTTTTAAAGTGAGAGACAGGAAGCTTTTCCTTTCACTTGAACACAGAGGCCAGTGTAGGGTTATTAACTGGCCTAATTTCCACATTGCTGTGTTCTAGGGAATAAGGCCGCCCAAGGAGAGGAAATGAGATGGGGGAACAGCCAGTCAGTGAAGCTGTCAAAATACGCATTGCATCTGTGGATTAAGTTCACTGTCTTATATGGGTGTAGTTGATGGTGCCCCAAACGATTGTAGAGAGTAACATCAAAGATCACTGATCACAGATCATCATAACAAATATAATAATAATGAAAAAGCTTAAAACATTGTGAGAATCATCAAAGTGTGACATGGAGACATAAAGTGAGCAAATGCTGTTGGAACATACACTTGTTGAATGCAGGGTTGCCACAAACCTGCAATTCGTTAAAAAAAAAAAAAAAAAAGCAGTAGCTGTGAAGTACAGTAAAGTGAATTGCAAAAAAAATGAGATGTCCTTAGGGTCTGCCAGTCTGCAGTTAGCACTCTGAGCTTTCACTGTCCAAGGCCTAGGTTCAGTCCCTGGTTGGGGATTCCACAAGTTGTGCAGCATGTCCAAAAAAGAGAGAGAAAGAAAAAAAAAAGAAGTATGCTTGTACCTGGATATTGAGAGGGATGAAGGAGACTAGGCTGTAGTCTTCGATGAGCTGCACCAGTTTCTCATTGAGCTGCCGGTAGTGGCGGAAGAAAGGATCCGAAGCAAGATGGTCCAGCAGGTAGGAGAGGTCCAGGACCTCTGTGTAGTAGTCCAGGTTGAAGGCTAAGAAGAGAAACTGGTTAGCACAGGGAACTCTATTCAATATCCTGTGATAAAGATGAACCACACTGGGAAAGAATACGAAAAAGAATATATACATATGTGTGTAACTGAATCACTTTGTTAACACAACATTGTAAGTCCATTACAGTTCAAATAAAAAATAAGAGAAGAGAAACTGGTATTAGGAGCAGCTGGAATCAGGCAAAAGACCTGAGAACAGGGAATGTATTTTTTTCTTTCTTCCTTTACCTTCATTCACCCACTCATTCATTCAACAAATATTTGTTGAGGCAGTGAAATGGAACTTACTAAGAAGAAAACAACTAATTTCACTTGTTCGCTCTGCCATTTAATAGCTGCGTGGGCAGTTACCCACCTCGTGAGGCTACTGTGAGGATTAACTGCTATAAACCTCAGTGTCTCGTTCAGAGAAGTGCCTGATCAATGGTAATAAGACTGAATATGTACCAATAATACAGCTTGGCCCCTGCCTCATGAGGCTCACAGCCAGGCAGTGCCCCCAGGACTTGGCACAGACACTCTAAGTCATCTACCTAGCAGGCTGGCCTCTTGGGAAAATGACTTTCCCTTTCTGGGCCAGTTCCTTCTTAGCGTAAAATGAGAAGATCAGAACAGATGACTCAGAGGTCCCTGAACTCAGTTCTATGAATACAAACTTCCTCCTAAGAGAAGGAAAGTGGGCCTTCCCACATTATCCATTTCTGCCTGGAAGACTCAGGCAGTTGGAACTCTGCAGATCTGTCCCAAAGTCAGTTGAGGGAATCCGGCTATCAGGACCAACTGACTCACACCCTGAGCTCTGCTTTCTGTATTCTTACCAGCCCTGATTAGAAACTGCCACCCCTGTGGCTGCAAGGAAGAAAATGTGGGCATTCCAACAAACTTCTTGGATTGCCTAACAGCTATGTTTCTCACTGAGAATGGAGAAGCTGCAGCCAGGTATGTTGGCACTTAGATCTCCTCTCAGCTAACATGCTAGCTGAGTGACTGACCTTGGGCTATTCATGTAACTTCTCTGGGTCTCAACTGCCTATCTGGTGTGTACCTGAGTCTCCTCTGAGGATGACTGGCAAGAGTCAAAGCTAGAAATGCAGAAGACAAACAGATAGCCATCGTGAGTGGAGGCTGTGAAGCAGGGAGAGAGGTTTGGAAGGACACAAATCTGCACGCAGATAAACTGGGGTGTTTGGGCTTGTCAAGAGATGGCTCAGGACTCTGGGCGGAGGTGGTTCCTTCAAGGTGCTGACATCCTTCCGTGTCCCAGCTGGCAGCCAGTCACCCTCCCTGGACAAGGCCCTGACACTTCACTCTCCCCCCAACCTCCTTTCAGCTGTTCTTCTCTACGTTCCTTTGTGGCTGAAGATGGTATTTAGAGAACTGATGCTACAGTCAGCAGAGTGCTAATTTTGCAGGAGAAAAATGCTGGCAGTTAGAACCCTAGGCAACACCCCTGCCTCGTGCCAGCCTGCTTCTCCCTCTGTTGTTCCCACCTTTATCCATTCACTGGTTCAGTCAGAAACGTGAGGGCCATTCTTAATTCCTCTATGTCCAATCCACCAGCAAATCCTACTTCCTGAGTTAAGTTTTTTATCTATCTCCTTCTCTTTGTTCCCACTAACCACTGCCTGGGTTGCTGCAAAACCCTCCTATAGGATCTGTTTTCATTCTCGCCTCTTTCAATTCACAAAGCAGCCAGAAGGGCCTTTTCAGTTCACGGTGCTCTCCTGCTTCATATTCATCAGCGGCTTTCCTCTTTAGCCCCTGCCCACCCCTGACCTCACTTCCTCCTATCACTCTCTGAGCTACACTGGGCTCCCCCACTCCCCACCCCCTTTCCCTTGAACACAAAAAGCTCTTTCCCTAAGGGCCTTTACCGTTACGGGATCCCCTGTCTAGGACACTTCTGCTTTGGCTGGCTCTTTTTACTACTCAGCTCCAACAGTACAGTTGACACCCTCCTTCTCATTCACTCACTATCCATCATTTTCTTCTAGTTCCTTCATAATACATATCACCACCTGTAGCTCTCTTGTCCCCAAAACCCAGAATAGTATCTGGCACGGAGGGGCACAAAATAAATGGGCAGGGATCAGATCTGCCTGTGGCTACTATCACCAGGCCATACATGATCCCTGGGAGCGGCTTCCTTCAGCAGAGATCTCTGCATCACTCCAGCCCAGCTGCTGCCCTGGGCTGCCAGAACAGGATCTCTTACCCAGCTTCCCATAGTGTTCGATGAGGTCCATCTTGGAGAGGAGGTTGACGTGGGGCAGCTCCACATGCAGCATGGTGGCCAGGGAAGTACACAGTACCGAAATGAACTTGGCAGGGTCTGTGCAATAGTGAGAATCCACCAGGTGAACAGCAGTCAGCTGGGAAGGGAGGAAGGGAAAGGGGTGAGAATGGCCTGGGGAAGCAGGGAACATTAGGGCCTCTGTCCCTCCCATCAGATTGGGGACTTCTGAGGGCAAAGGGCAAGTCTTCCCATTAGTCTCCTCCTCCTTCTGTTTCATTCTTACAGCCACAGCTAACCCTTATCCCAGGAGAGGTGGAACATTTTTTCCTACAAGAGGCCTTGCACTGAGCCTCCCAGTGGGCACTGCATCTGACTCCACTGTTCACTTCCTTTTGCCCACCAAGTCACAACAATCATCATGCCACTTTCCACTTAACCCCTTCTATACTCCCAACAATCCCAAATTGGGTAGTGACACATCCATTCTACAGATGAGAAAACTGAAGTTCAGAGAGATTAAACTGACTTGACCAGGACCACACAGTGTGGAGTCAGTGGCAAAGCCAGAATTCGAACTCACACCTGTTTTACTTCAAAGGGACATGGGGGCGTGGCATCTGTCCTCCCTGTCTCAGTTCTTCCATCTGCAAAATAGGCCCGCCAGACCCCAGACGCACCCTGAGATCCCACTGCGTCATCTGGGAGAAGATGCTGCGCAAGGCTCCGTGGTGCGTGCAGAGCTCCACTTGGCCAGGGCAGTCGAAGAGGAAGTAGTGGCCGCGCAGGGGGTCGAGCTTGGCACGCAGCCAGTCCAGGTTGGCCTCCAGGTACTCCATGCAGTAGAGCAGACCGCCGTTGGGGCCCAGCTGCAGCGCGTCCATCACGTCGCCCAGACCCACCAGCTCGCCCACGTCCACGGCGCACTCGTAAGGCAGCCCCTCGTTGGCAGGGTCCAGGTTCACCACCGCCACGTGCCGGCCCAGCGCACGCAGGAACTCGCTCATGCCCAGACAGTATGTGGTCTTCCCCGAGCCCGGCGGACCGATCACCGCCTGCCCAAACGCCGTGGTCGGAGCGGCTCCCGCCATGGGCGGCCGGCACACGGCTCCGTGCGGAGCAGCTGAGCGCGTCAGGGGAGGGAGACGGGAACCACACCGGAGACGAGCTCTGAGGGCGACGACGGGATTACCCCAACGTGGGCTTCGCCCCGCGCTGGAGGCGATGCCCGGGGTTCGCCTGAGGAAAAGGAAGGAACCCGCGCGCTGTGGGGGATCAGATGGCCAGGTACCGACGGGACCTGCACCCGACTTCCGGATGACGTCGGGAAAACCCGGCCCGGAGAGGAAGTCCCGCCCTCACGGTGACGACACAGCTTGGCGCCGAGAGCTGTGGAGATGAGCCCCAAGTGGTGACGCCGGGGCGTGGGGCCGACTTGGGGCCCTGCAGGGATCTTTCCGGGGGTTTTCCCACCTTACTCCTGGCCCAAATCCGAAGAGAAAGAGAAATTCGGTAGTTAACATTTTTATTTTCTCGTTATGTCGCAGACCCGGGACATCTGCGGCGGGTTGTCTGCTGCTCCGGGCCCAGCCACTGAAGGGTAGACACTGGAGGGCCCGCCTCAAGACCGTCTCTTAGGAGCACGAGCCCTCTCCTCTTCCGTGTCCTTAACCCCCCTCTTTCTGGGCTTCATGGTAACCTTTTCCCAGGAAGGTTTTGCTGATAAACCTCAGTCAGTCCAGCTTTTCAAGGGGCTGGGGGAGGCAACAGAAGCAAGCCGAAAAAATAGGGACTAGGGTTAGGAGACCAAGGAGGAAGAGTCATTAAGCCCTTTCATTAAAGGGGAGGATATAACGGGGGCTTTTTGTAAAAATGTCCCTGAGGTAGACAACCAGAAGGCAAGTTCTGAACAAAGCATCCTGAACAACCGTGCAGACTGCTGCTCCCAGAGTTCTTTCTGCCTTCAGTGGAAGATAAGGCTGGGCACAGGGCTGCCACTGTGCAGTTATGAGTGATCCTGATTAAGGGGGCGTCCTTGAACCTGTCACTCAAGCTCTGAAAGGCTGTTCAAGGCACGGCTGGAACTCCTCACAAAAGCCAGGTCTGTGCGAAACTTCATGCTGGTGGGTGGCTGGCGGCGGAGCAGCAGCTCTCCTTGGTCCTGGGGTAGGGGCTCATCGTAGACGGTGGAGATGAGCCCCAAGCCAGTTCCACGGGGCCTCTTCGGTTGCCCAAATGTCTGGAGCTTCTCTCCATGGTACCTGAAACAAAAACAGGGCTCTCAGTGAGAGGGCTGCTCTCTTGCCCCAGTAAAAGGGTTGGGAAAGAACAGGGTAATAGCTACTACGTATCTTCAGTTCAGTTGCTCAGTCCTGCCAGACTCTTTGTGACCCCATGGACTGCAGCATGCCAGGCCTCCCTGTCCATCACCAACATATCTGATTTGTCCCAAAGACAGAGCATTGAAATCTCCTGCCCCCTCATCTTATCTGTTTATGGTGCCAGCAACCAGGGGCCTCACATACTGCTTTCATTTTAAATAGTACAGAAAATTCAGAACAACTGTTACCACTTTGTGACTTACAGTCACTCCCTAACAGCAATCAAGTCCAAATTCCTCAGACTTGAGGGAATGACTCCCCCAGAAGATTAATCATCCTGTCAAGCTTGAGGACTCGGTCTTGAAAAGACTAGTGCCAGATCTACTTTTTCCTTCTAATTCTACTTTAAAGTTTAATCCCCAGGGGCACTCTAGCACCCAACCCAGACCCAGAGGGAAGGGGGAACCAGGGTACAGCTCAAAGACTCACTTGGGCTCCCAGGGAAGTCCCTCAGCCGTACTCACCCCAATCCACGCTTGCATCTGGGGTGCTGGCCGTCATTATCCAGGGCCTCGGGCACGCCTGAACACTGGCTGCCCAGGCCCTGGCCCTCAGCCCAGCCCTGCTGTTCCAGCACCTTCCGCCCAATGCCCTGCAAAGGAAAGAGAGAAGACTCAAGACATGGGGCTCCTGTGGGGGCAGGGGAGGGAATGGGGGTAAAGAAGGAAAAGAAAGGGGTCAGTGGGCAGGGCACAATGCTTACCTTGGTATGGCGCTCGAAGGTGCCCACCTGGTGTCTGATCACAGAGCCAGCCTCCTGGCTATCACGGAGCCTCCGTTCTAGACGCATTTGGACAGAGTCTCGGGCGTCTTTGTCTCCACCATCTGAGGAAGCAGAGCCCAGTTTGTGGAAAGGTCTCTCAGCAAAAGTAGGGAAAATCAGGTTTCTAGGCCCTCGTCACAAGATTTACATATTCATCTTTATCGTGTGTCATTACTGTATTTCTCTTATTAGACTGGGAGCTCGCCAAGAGTAAGAACCATGGCTGTCCCATCTTACAGATGAGGAAAAACTGGTGCAGAAAAGTCACAGAGCCAAAAAATGAGAGATGGAATTAGGACCCAGGTCTTCACCTCCCACTGTGTAAATCACTCTAGGTCATGTTTTTTTTTTTTTTTTTTTTTGCCACATTGCACAGCATTGGGATCTTAGTTCTTCAACCAGGTAGTGAACACTAAGCCCTCTGCACTGGAAACGTGGGAGTCTTAACCACCTGACCACCTGGGAGGTCTCAACCCTACGTGATTCTTGACTCCAGAATCTAAATTCTTAACCAGAGCCTGAACTCCTGACCCTCCCACTACTAGGGCCTGCCCATCAGAACCAGACCTCCCTGAGGGCTGTGCCCACACGTCCTTCCTCCACACAGAAAGGAAAAAGATGCTGCCCACAACCAGCACTTAATGCACTCAACTAGTGACCTTTTAAAAGACTGGTGCCCTGTCTCAGACTCTGCTAAGTGTCACTGCACGGCCAGGGCACCATTCCATCTCTGAGTACTGCAAGCCCGGGCCCAGTACCTGTGTCGTAGTACACGCTCATGTCCACATCCCAGTCATCAGATGTCTGTTCATCAAAGTCTGCAGAGAGAAAAGCATCAAGCAGAGTGAACCAAGGACTCTCAGTTCTATCAAGAGTTAACTCTAGACTTAAGACACACATTCTAGAACTTGGGGAGTATATTCAAGTCTCTCCTCTGGTGGAGGGGGGGGTCACTCAGAATTGGGAGGAAGGCATTTTCTCTCCACTCCCCTGATCTCCCACCCCTAGAAAGGATGGCTGGTGTCTCAAATACAACAACATAAGCCTCTTTCCTAGCCCTCTAGTCGGGTTGACCACCAGGGAACCCACTGTGTGGAGCAGAGTGCCCTGAGCGAAAACAGCAGGGACCACTCCTGCCCTTGCCTGGTGCAAGCATTACCTCCTTCCTCCTCCTGCCAGAACTGGGCGTCAGTGTAAAACACCAGGCCGGAGCCGCCCTTCTCCCACTTGAGCTCGATCTCCTCCTCAAAGAGCCGCTCAGAGGTCCGCTCCTGCCCCGTCACGTCCTCATGCAGTGCCTCGTGCCGCTCCCACTCCTCACCCCGGTCATCGTCCTGGGAGAAGGTGGAGAGAGGAGACCTGCTTGTCCAGCTTCCTGACCTGAGGCCCACAAGGCAGGCAGCTCGCTGCACAGGAGGTCCTAGAGATGGGACCCCAGCTCCATTCCTCCCAATTTCTCGGAGAAAGAACACGTTTTTGTCCCCTGAGGCCTGACCTGACATCTCTCCATGCCCTGAGTGTTTTTCAACATACTTTGCCACTTCCCCTACTAGTCTTTTTTTTTTTTAAGCTGCACCACACAGCAGGTGGGGATCTTAGTTCCCTGACCATGGACTGAACCTGTGTCCCCTGCATTGGAAGCACTTCCCGGGCGTCCAATCTTAACCACTGGACCTCTGGGAAGTCCCAAGCCTGACTCACTCTTATCGTTGCACTTTTGGTCACATCACTCTCCTGGCCTCTCTGCCCTGCTCTCCCATCACCACCTCTTCTACATTTGGTTAAATCCTCCTCATTCCTCAAGTGCTATAGCTCACATGAAGTCCCCACACTGAAGCCCACAGCACTCTCAATGGTCTGTGAACTTCTCAGTGCTAATTAATAGACACTGTTTATGCCTTTCTACATTATGTCACAAAGAAAGAAGGGACAAGAGCTAATACCTACTGTCTACTGTGTCAGGCCCTTCATATACCTTAGCTCCTTTAATCACCCCAACAACTCTGTGAATAAGTACCATTATTTCCATTCTAAAGATGAGGAAATTTAGATTTAGTGAAGCAAAGTGATTTGCCCAAGATGGTACACCAAGAGAAGGGTAGCACCAGCCTGCAAACCCATTTCATACGATGTACCCTTTACAGATGCTGGTTCTTCCTCTTCAGGGAGACTGAAGGCTCTTTGAGGGAAGGAAATGAGCCTTAGATTGTCTCTGGAATCCTGTGCTAGCCCATGTGTTTACAGCTGCTTGGCTGGACTTGTGGAATGATAGAATGACTCCTGGCTTAAAATCCTGGGGGTCCCCTACCCCATTTAAACTCCAGGAGGTCTCAGGAATCACTGCTGCAGAGCAGGTGCTGGAGAAAAGGCAGAACCACCACACTAAGGATGTGGTCCAGATGTGTTAGTAACTCTGAGCAGGGAGCTTTGAAGACATAGATCAATTGTTTTTTACACAGGGTATGCATTAAAAAAAAACTTTCCCAATAAATAACATAAAATCTCCTAATTTTATGGGTGAACAACCAAGTTTGGAGAAAGAGGTAGAAGAAATGTCTGTTTCACTGATGAGGTTAGACTGGAGGTTAGCGTTCAATCCACAGAGTCAAGGTCAGAAAACAGAGGTGACTTCTCAACCACATGATGAGAGCACACAGACGTCAGAAAAGGAGCGAAGGGGACTGGGTTCACATCCTAGCTCCGCCTCTACCTCTTTAGATGATCGTATCTCTTAGTCAGTAGATTTCATCAATGAAAGACACCCTCCTTACATTTCTTCTGAAGCAATAAGAAGATGCCTTTGAGAATCTTTGGATAAAAGCTCTGGTCCCTTTTCCCAAAGAAACATATACCTGCACAAGCAAATGCAGTTTTATATTCAGTATCAGGGAGTTCAAAGTCTTTAGAAGCCTCCTGAGGACCCCAGGTCTTGGAATACACAAATGAAGAGTGGCACTAACAATGCCTTGGGCTCTCTAAGCTGCCAGCAAGGACAAAATGGCTCTCCATACTCACATCATCTGAGTGTGACTCTTCTTCCTCTTCTTCCTCTGGCTCTTCACAGGAGTTGGATGGTATGTCTGCCAAGCAGCTTCCCTGGGGTATTTCCTCACCCTCGGCTGTGTACACAAACTCTTCCTGCTCCACAGTCTCTGAGTCCTCATAAGTGAAGGGCACATTGCCATAGCGCCGAGAGGAACCTGTCTTGGGGAACTGGAGCTGAAGCTGGGTGATGATCCGAGGGGGTAGGCGGCAGGCCCTAATCAATTCCAAAAAGACCCGCAGGGGAGTGCCCACATTCCCATTGGGCATCAGCACCGGTGGATTCAGCTCTGGCAGCTGCCTCAGGTCGGCCAGTGTGAAGGCTTCACTCTTAGCCGTGTGACTCTGCAGTTCCTTCCGGGTCCTGAAGGGAAAGGAGCCCAAACCTTGGAAAGCAGGGAGAAGAATGACACTTGAAACCTGAAAGTCTCCAGTGACACGTGAGCCAGAAATTGGTCAAGGTTTAAATCCTTTTGCTAATGCTGTTTCTCCCTTTCCAACTTTTCCAGAGTCCCTTCCTCTGTTCCCTGACCAGAACCATCTAGTAATGTTATGCCATTTCTCATGACCTCGGTAAGCTCACAGGTTTCTTTCAGATCTGATTCCTGATGACCTTTTGATTCTCAACTGCCACTAACCCTCACCCCCTGCACACCCTCATATCATATGTTCCAATCACATCAAACAATTTAACATGCCCTGAAAGTTTCATGGACTTCCACATCTCTGTATCTTTGTAAATACCATTTACTTTGAATACCACTCTTTCCCACAAACTCCTGTTTATATTTCAAGATCCAGATGAAAAGCCACATTTCCTACTCCTTCTAGGAAATTGGTTTCTCCTCTGTCATCTCACAGTAGTGGGAGATAAAGAGCACAGGCTCTGGAGCAAAATGCCTGGTTAATACTGTGACTGTAGTCTTGTACCATGACTTCTGTATCCTTCAGTTTCCTCACTTACAAAACGGGTAACAATAGCTCCTACCATATAGACTGGTGTCAGGAGTCAATGAGAAAATGAAAGGCTTAGAGCAGTGCCTAATAAGGAAGTGTTCAGTAAATGTTAACAATTAGAATGGCATCTCTGTAACAATTATCTTTTTATAAATCTGTGTTTTTTTGGATTCTAAGCACAGACTGTGTCCAGCTGTTCTCTGCATATCAGCTAGAGTCATACTCAGTCTATCAATACAGGCTAGATTTGTTGAATGAATAAATTAGAGGGCCCTGCACTGTGTTTCCTGCTTCCAAATCAAAGTGATTTCCCAAGAAAATGGCAACAGTCCAAATAAAAAACCTTGTCTCTTCATTTGCATCTTGCCAGAGCAGCCTGGCGTGCTGCAATCCGTAGGACTGCAAAAAGTTGAAATGAACAACAACTGCATCTTGCCAAGAGAGGATTGGTCGGGGAACAACAAAGAAGAGGCAACAAAAACAATACTTGACTTCCTTTTCAGCCCTCTATGTCAGTGCAAAATCTAAAGGATCTAGGAATAGACTTAATAAACTGGAAAGATCATCTGAATAGGCCTCTGTTTCCCCCCTCTCCCCAAGTTTTTCTACCGTGCAAGCTAAGCCTGAAACTTTGTCCAGAAATTATCTAAACTCTTGAAGAGCCCTAACGAGGGACCTAACTTATCCTTATCACTCTTCAGGAAAGGTGCCTCTGTTCCTGTGCCTGCAGGCCAAGTCTAGTTTCCTTCCCACGGGTACCTGATGCCTCAGTAGGTAACCGAAGTCTGCGGATGAAACAACGACCAGGTAACCAAGTCCCCTGAGAATCCAGCCACCGGCGGCCCGAGTACATGCGGAGAAACCTCTGGGCTTGAGCGGCCCCCCGTACAGATACAACACAGCAGCAGCTGCGGGTCCGGGTGGGGTTAGAGTCCTGAGTGGAGAGAGCACCGGCATCGTTGAGTGACGTCTGGGCAAGACCCTCGCGGATAGGAGTTGGGGTAGAGTCGGGAGCAGCCTGGGGAGGGGCCCGCTCAGGCCGATGCCGGTAATGGAAACAGAGGAAGCCACAGTCGCGCTGTTCCCGGAACTGGCTAAAGTAGCTCCGAAGCTGGGCTGACCGCAACTCCGAGGGGATACCGCTCACGACTAAATAAACTGCTGCCTCCTCTTCTGCCTCGCCGGACACGGCCATCTTGGCTGTCACATGATCGGCTGGAATCAACTCTCGCGAGAACATCGCGAGCTGGCGCAGAGGCGTAGCAACATTGTGTATCCGGTGATGAGTCAGCCGGCATTGTGGCTGTGGAACCTAGAGTTGGGAAGGTTTGAACGAAGTTGTTCTTTTTCCCACAGACAGGCAAGTGGTGATGGAAAAAAGTCACCTGAGAAGTGATGTTACAGCGTTCGTTTACAAGGCTCTAGTGAGGATCAAATCAGAAGCCTGAGGGCGGGACTGTGTTTAAGATTTCCCAAACCTAATTGTAATTATCAGTTTAGAGCGTTTTCAGTCGTTAATCCATTCATTCTTCCGAAACATATTGGTGAACTCCCACAAATCATTTAGAAAAAGAGAATCCGGGGCTTCTCTGGTGGCTCAGTTCCCTGTTGTTTTCATGATAATGGGGAGCCGCGAATATGAGAGGGTTTTCTGTACTTATTTTCATTATTCATCCTTGTACACCTTTCACATAGTAGATGCTTAGGGAAAGCTGGTTGGAGGCCTTGCTGCCTTTGGAAGGGATTAAGAAATGATCCCTCCCAGGGATCCTGCATTGCGGGAGACCTGGGTTCGATCCCTGAGTTGGGAAGATCCCTAGGAGAAGGGAATGGCTACCCATTCCAGTATTGGGCTTCCCTGGTGGCTCAGATGGTAAAAAAATCTGCTTGTAATGCAGGAGACCCGGGTTCGATCCCTGGGTCGGGAAGATAACCTGGAGGAAGGCATGGCAACCTACTCCAGTACTCTTGCCTAGAGAATCCATCCCATGGCCAGAGAAGCCTGGTGGGCTGCAGTCCATAGGGTTGTACAGAGTCAGACACGACTGAAGCAACTAAAGACAATCCAGTTGAAGTGGGCTGAAGACCTTTCACAGAAGAGAAACACATCTAAATAATAATGAAAGATACTCAATCTCATTTCATCAAGGAAATACAATGAGACCCACTTCATAGCCAGCAGATTGGCAAACATTTTAAAATCCTCAAATCCTCTCTTAAATCCTGAAGATGTAGAGCAACTGGAGCTCCCTTATGCTGTTAGAAGTGTAAACTGGTACTGCTGCTTTGGAAAACAATTTGGCATTACCCTGTAAAAGTGGAACTCCACATGTCTTTGACCCAGAAATTCCACTTCTAGTTACATGTTTTGTTTTTTTAATTACTTATTTGGTTGCCCTGGGTCGTCACTGCCATGTGCAGTCCTTCTCTGGTTGTGGTGTGCGGGCCTCTCATCACAGTGGCTTCTCTTGTGGAGCACAGGCTCTAGATCCACGGGCTTCAGGAGTTGAGTTGCCTGGGCCCAGCTGCTCCGAAGCATGTGGAGTCTTCCCAGGCCAGGAGTTAAACCTGTGTCCCCTGCTCTGGCAGGCAGTTTCGTATTCCCTGTACCACCAGGGAAGTCCTCTAGTTATACATTTTAAAGAAATTCTTGCATCTGTTTATTAGGAGATGTACTGACAATGTTGAACCTTGCTCAAGCCCTGTGATCCTGGAAAACAGTGAAAGTTAAGAAACCCCCTCCACCCTTTTGTGTTCTGGAACCAACTTACTGCAAGGAGACAACCTTCCTTTTATGACTTAGATAAAACTCATGAGTGCCTTGTTTACCTATGGCAAGGCTGGATACAGACTCCAAATTTCAATTCTTTGCCTCATAAATGCTTAGATGAACTGCTTTTCCCCACAGATCAATAAGAACAAAATGCTTGTTAACTAAGGTTTAGTTTAGCTTCTCTCCTTCCTCCAGGTCCATGAACTTTGCACTGTGTTCCTCTCCCCCAGCTTGAGCTGTGTGCAACTCCTCCTTAACAGCCCCCTTGCCCCCGAAGAATAGTCTGGGTTCAGAGTAAAACATTCTCTGACCTACTGTCCCATATGTCATTCCTGGTCATCCCACTTCGTCACACTAAGTTCTTTCTAGCCTTATTTACTCCTCCCTATGAAAGAAAAACTCTTTGCCTGACCCTTGAGGCACGTGTGGATCTTATGGTTAGAGCTTCTCTTTGCGATAGCTTCCCTGTGTCTATTACAGTAGTTCTTTTCCTTCCTTGCAATAACTGTTACAAATAAAATCTCTTCTTCCTTAGTCCAGATTTATTTTTATTTGACAGTATATATGAATTCATAGCTGCAGTGTTTGTAAGAGCAAAAACTGGCATTTAGTACTACTAATTTCAGGTGTATGATATTGAATGAAAATAAGCAAGTCAGAAAGCACAGAATATTCCACTTATATAAAGTTCAAAAACTACAAATCAAAAACATTTTTAAAGGATACACATGTAAGTATGCTTTAAGATCATGAAGAAAAGGGAAAAGAGGACTTCCCTGGTGGTACAGGTGATATGAATCTGCCTGCCAAAGCAGGGGACACAGGTTTAATACCAGGCCTGGTGGCCTGGTAGGTTAGGATTCTGGGCTTTCACTGCGAGGTCCTGAGTTCCATCTGAGATGCTGCAAGCCACATGGTATAGCCAAAAATTCAATCCTTAGCTAGCTGTGTGGATTTGGGCAAGTTACTTAGTTTCTCTGAACCTAAGTTTCCTCATCTACTGGATAGGAAAACTACTGCCTCCCCTTGGAGGATTGTGGTGAGAATGTAATGGCATCGTGCATATACAAGTACTTAGTAAATGCCTAGCATACAGTGGTGGTTTAGTCGCTAAATCGTGTCCTACTCTGGCAACAGCATGGACTGTGGCCCACTAGGCTCCTCTATCCATGGGGGTTCCCAGTCAAGAATACTGGATACAGTAAGCCCTCCTTCAAAGTTACCTGTTATTTTCATGATAATAGGGTGCTGCGGATATGAGAGGGCTTTCTGTTCTTATTTTCAGTATTCATCTTTGTACGCCTTTCACATGGTAGATGCTTAGGGAAAGCTGGTTGGTTGTTGGAGGACTTGCTGCCTTTGGAAGGGATCAAGAAATGATCCCTCCCAGGGATCCTGCAATTCGGGAGACCTGGGTTTGATCCCTGGGTTGGGAAGATCCCCTGGAGGAGGGTATGGCAACCTACCCCAGTATTCTTGGGCTTCCCTGGTGGCTCAGCTGGTAAAGAATCCACCTGCGATGTGGGAGACCTGTGTTCGATCCCTGGGTTGGGAAGATCCCCTGGATAAGGGAACGGGCTACCCACTCCAGTATTCTGACCTGGAGAATTCCTTGGACTGTATAGTCCATGGGGTTGCAAAGAGTTGGACACAACTAAACAACTTTCACTTTCACTTTCTTAGAAAACTAGCATGATCGACTCAAGTTGAGCACTCATTCTGTGACTCCGTAATTCCGATTCTTATCATATAGCACCAGTTCTGCAAGCATCTGTGTACCAAAACACATGCGCAAGAATAATGCTAGCAATATTATTTGATGGACCTCAGTAGTATAATGGATAAATAAATTGTAGTGTAATGGAATACTTTACAACAATGAAAATGAATAAGTTATTGCTACATAGAGCATAGAATGGCTCTCAGATACAATATCAAGTAAAAGAAGACAAACACAAAAGAATACATGCTGTACAATTCCATCTATATAAAATTTGGGTTCCCCTGGTGGACCAGTGGTTAGGCATCCACCCTGCAGTGCAGGGAGCACCGGGTTGACCCCTGGTCCAGGAAGATCCCACGTGCCTTGGGGCCACTAAGCCCATGCATCCCAACCACCGAGCCCGAGTGCCACAGCTACTGAAGTCTGCACCCCCTAGAGGCTGCGCTCTGTAGTAAGAGAAGCTACCGCAATAACAAGCCTGAGCACCACAGCTAGAGAGTAGCCCCCACTTGCCGCAACTAGAGAAAGCCCATGCATAGCAACGAAGACCCAGTGCAGCCAAAAATAGAAATAAATAAATTGAAAAACATTTTTTTAAAGTTTAAGGCAAGCGATCTCATTTATCATGTTGGAAATCAGGGGTTAGTGACACCCTTTGGGCAGGAGGGCGAGGTAGTGATGGGAAGGGTTTCTGGGGCATTGCCAATGTTCTATTTCCTGCTCTGAGTGGTGATTACAAGGTTTATTCATTTCATGATCATCAAGTTATACAGGTCTGATTTGCATACTTTATATTACCCAGAAAATGTTTAGTTAAAACTATCTTTTTTAAAAATCCAAAAATTGAAAAGTAAGTGTTATACAGCAAAGAGTGTGTGCCAAAATAAAGATGGTATGCTCTGGAAAAGTTGTTAGATGACCCAAGAAGTTATGCACTTATGATTACACATAATTGTTATTTGTGGGATGAAATTCCCAAGACCTTGAATGGTGCTCAGTGTGTAGTAGATTCTCAGTAAATCATCATTGATGGAATGAATATTCCTGGCACTAACATGGGGATGTCCTGTTGACTGTGGCTGAGGACTCTTTCCAGGGAAAATGGGCCACTTCCCTGGGGGAACAAGCAGGCTTGATTTCTCATCAAAAACTTAAGCTCAAAAGTAACCAAGACAGTACTTTCACTCTCATTCTGCCTTACAGTGACGTGAGGAGAGGAAAGAGTCTAGGTGCTTTTATTCTCCACTTGATCATCTCTGACTTTTAAAGACTCATGATAGCATAGTGTTTAAGGGCATAGGACCTATGGATTTTCCTGGTGTGTAGTGGATAAGAAGTTGCATGCCAATGCAGGGAACATGGGTTCGATCCCTGGTCCAGGAAGATCCCTCATGCCTCAGAGCAGCTAAACCCGTGCATCACAACTACTGAAGCCTGCACGCTGTAGGGCCCACGAGCCACAGATAATGACCTCTGTGCTGCAACCACTGGAGCCCAAGCGCCTAGAGCCCACGCTCCACAACAAGAGAAGCCGCTGCAATGAGAAGCCCAGGCATCACAGCTAGAGGGTAGCCCCCACACTCCACAACTAGAGAAAGCCCACGTGCAGGAACAAAGACCCAGCACAACCAAAAATAATTAATCAATTTTAAAAAAGAGCATAGGGCCTAAATCAAAACCATCTGAGTTCAAATCCTGACCCTACTGCTGTTAACTGTGTAACCTTGAGTAAGTTATCTAACTTCTCGGTGCTTCGGTTTCTCCATCTGTGTAATGGAGATGATGATAGTACTTCCAGCATTGAGTTGTAAAAATTAAATAACATAATCGATGTAACGTGTGTAGAGCATCGCTCTCCATAACTCTTTAATAGCTCCCCAGAATGACTTGCCAGGAATAGGGGGTTCCCTTTGTCAACTCTGATTCCCTGACACCTTAACCTTGTTGCCTCCACCAGTTTCACTGGGATGGCTTTTCTCTGCTGCCTTGTTCTGTGACATGCTCGCTTTTCATCTCTTCGGGACCCTCTGTTGCTCTTGGGTCTCCTGGGATCCAGTTGCCCCAGGACCACTGGCAGTGAGTGGAACACTCTTGGCTCTGACACCTCTATGCCTTTGCACCTATTGTTCCGTCTGTCTGGAATGCTCACCCCCTTGACTTGCCTAGCAAGCTCCATTCAATCTCTTTAGGTCATAGTGGTCACCACCTGGCTGAAGAGTTTTTCCCAAATCCAGACAGATTGGCACAGTGAATCCACCTTCCAGAGCAGAAGACACAAGAGACTCGGGTTCAATCCTTGGGTCAGGAAGATCCCCTGGAGTAGGAAATGACAACTTGATCCAGTATTCTTGCCTGGAATATTCCATGGACAGAGAATCCTGGCAGTCCATGGAGTCGCAAAGAGTTGGACATGACTGAGTGACTGACTTACGCGCACATGTCTATGCCTCTGCTGCCTGTTGGATGTCCATCTGTCACAGTTCAGATCACTCTGTTGCAATTACTCGTGTGTCTTTCTCTGCTATAGACAGGATATGTAGTGAAGGCAGGGACTGTATCTTACTTATTCTGTGCTTCTCAGCATCTAGCACTGGGTCTGGTACAAGTGGACATAGAGAAAGATGTTGGAAATGGCAGGGATGGATGGATGGATAGTGGGTACTGTCTTTTTCCTGGCATCATAGGTTCTAGGCTATGTGACCGTTTCAAGGGCAGGGAGTGTCAGCACAGGGCACAGGACACGTCAGCAGCCCGACTGCTTAATAAGCAGTCAGTGATTTGGCTAATGAAGGTAGGAATAATGATGATAATCAAATGGTACCTGAGGCTGACCCAGAGCCATGCCCATTCTCCTGCTTCCTAGTGAGTCATCCCTGGCTGGGCCTGAGGACAGGAATCAGGCTGAGACACAGTAAACAGTGGCTGAGCTGCCTCTAGACAATCTGATCTTGACCATGACTCACTCCAGCCTGTGGTGGTGGCCGGAGCCTGGCCTCCACAGTCACACAGTTGAGATCCCAGCACAGAGGGTGATCATGCAGACCTTGAGCAAGTTGTAGACCCTGTCTAAGCCTGTTTCTTCCTCTACCCTCTCTGACTGATGGGACACTATTCCTGCTCTTAAGACATTGATAGTGAAGACACAGTGCCCCACCTTCAGAAACCCTGCAGTCTCATGGAGAAAGCATTACTGCCTGTATCAAACTGTATTATAATTTGCTTCTTTAGTTTTGCTCAGCTTGTCTTTATGTTCATCTAGAAGGCTTGGTTAGGGTACAGGGTGTGACTCAAGAGACACAGACAAGAAATAGACAGAAGTGTGGCTCCCCAATCCTGCGGAGGGGTAGGAAAGAAATTTGCAAAGGAACGAAGTAGGCTAATAAGGAAAGCTATTTGGATGATGGAAGCATTAGGTAAATTGTGGGAAATGGCTGGGGTGGATAAAGAAGTGCGTTTTCTAATGGCTGCTCAGGATTGGAGTGGGGGGCGGGGTGGTGAGAGGCAGGAAGAACTTAGCCTGAGCGTTCAGAGAGGTGCCCACTTAACTACTGGGGGCAGAAGGGACATAAAAGATAGAATGGCCCCAGACCCCTGAACCTGCCGGAATTGGCCCCTGTGGGGAGACGAGGCATCTCCTCTTTATCCATTAGCTGTGGCATGCAGGATCCTTAGCCGGGGCACGTGAACTCTTGGTTCCCCATCCTGGGATTGAATCCATGCCCCCTACAGTGAAGCACAGAATCTTAACCACTGGGAAACCAGGGAAGTCCCCCAAGGTATATGCTCGTTGAAAGGGTTGCCTCATGCATCTTCCAGGTGAGATGAGCCTAAGGGGTGGGATGGGGGCAGGGCTGGGAGGGGTGCCTGGGGCTGAGGTCTGGGTCTGGGGTTCTGGTAGAGGGGAGAGGGTGGAGAGATGTAGGGCTTGCTCCCAGTCTCTTAGAGGATGTCTCTATTTAAGGATTATGATTAGTCCTGGCTAGGGGTGGTTGTTGAGCAGGACACAGCCTTTCTGACGGTGGATGTTGGGGTCACCATGGGAAAAGGGAGTGACTGAGGCCCTAATGCTAGTCAGAGCAGTTTGGTCTGGACTTGTAGCCTCTGGGTAGACCCTGGAGGTGTGCGGACACAGGCCTCCTTATGCTGGGGGCCACTGATCTTTTTACTGTGACATGCAGAAGATGGTGAGCATGCCCTGGTGTACCCTGTTCATCTGCAGAGTCGGCGCAGGTGTGAACACCTGGCTTGGGAGCGTGTGTCCTTTCCCTGAACATGTTTGCTGTATGTCACTGTGTGTATCTGGGCTGGGCACTTCTGTGATGTGTGTGTGCTGATGGAAGGTCTGTTTCGTGGGTCAATGTAGGCAATGTCTGAGTTGTTCAACTTAGTGTGTGGGCCTGGGTTTCGCGTGTCTCTTCACTGTGGGGTCTGAGCTGTGAGTTTCGACCTCATTCTGGTGTCTGAGTGGTGAATGGGTGACTGGGTAAGGGGCAGGGGCACTCTTGCTGCTAGCATAGGGGGCCCACAATGGGTCCATGGCCTATTCCGTTGTGGTCTCTTTCCCTGGGGCCTTAGGGAGAGGTCTGAGTATGACTCCTAGACCGTTGTCCCTGAGTGAATGACCTCTTGTGGAGTAATCATTAACTTGGCCCCCCGTGAGAAGAATCCAGACTGTGGTGGTAAGGGGGGTGGGGCCTGGTCAGGACAGGCCTCATTGCTGGAGAAAGAAGGAGGCCAGAAAGGGGGATCCTATAGGCATGTGTGTTGTTATCATCCACTCCTGCCCATCTTGCAGGTCATTGACCCTGACCTGGGTGATGTTCAAAATATTTAACGAACAGTGAGGCACAGACATTGACCAATCAGAGAAGACACAAGCCATGCTCTGAATGGAGCAGCCCTGGAAGCCATGGCTGTGCCAAGCGTTGCCTCTCTAGGTGCTGGACAGGAGGATGGGTACCAGGAGAAAGGAGCACTGAGGGGCAGTGGAGGGGATTCCGGGGCCCTCCAGCAGTGGCTGTGAACCGGCTGTCATGGAAGTGTGTTTCAGACTTTAACAACTGGCGTGGCAGCTAAACCTCAGTCTGCCTTGGCTTCCAAGCAGCGCCCAGGTCAGCCCTAACTGCCCTTGCCCCCTCCCGTTAAGAGAACAGGGGACCACTCCCTTCTGTCTGCTGAAAGAATAGGGGAAGTTCAGTTCAGTTCAGTTGCTCAGTCATGTCCAACTCTTTGTGACCCCATGGACTGCAGCACGCCAGGCCTCCCTGTCCATCGCCACCTCCTGGAGTTTACTCAAACTCATGTCCATTGAGTTGGTGATGCCATAGGGGAAGTGAATGATCCCAAATGGCAGAGATTCCTGTAACTGTTTCAATTTGGAAATGAGATGCTTCATTTTCCTTATTGGTGATTCTCACTGAGGTGAGAGGGAGGCCGGGGCAGGAGCAGAGGGAGGGATCAGCAGGGGATTTGAGGAATAGGGAGGGATACTCCTACCCCTTGATATAAAGGCAAGGATGTTGGGGGTGGTCCATGAACTGATACTAACTCCTGGATCAGATCCATGTGAAATAAATCTCACCATCAGAAATGAAATCACCATCCCACCCTGAAAAATCAAAACTCCAGTTTCCTGAGTCCTGGCTTCTGTGTCACTTGTAGTTCCTTCCTCTTGGACTCCCTCTGACAGGGGCAGGGGAACTCTGGAGATAAACCAGTCCCTTCCACATGTACAAATCACACTGTCACGTTCCAAGGGTGTCACACCTTTTATTACAAAAACCAATAACTTAAGTCAGTTCTGTACAAAGTCAGTAGAACTCCTGGCCCAACAAGCAGCGGAAACTTCTACCCTGCCCCAGGAGGGGACAGGAGTCTTGGCCCAGAGGCTTGGAACCACCAGGGGCTGGCCAGTCAGCTGGAGCACTGTGTCCAAATTGAGGAGGGTCAAGGTGGGGTGTGGCTGAGTGAGGGCCCACCTGGCTGTGCTGGGGCCAGCTGCTCTGGGGAAACCTCTGGGAGCACTGGGTCACCCAGGGGACAGCCAGGCCGAATCAGTGCTGCCAGCCTCCACCCAGTCCCTGCTTGGGCTGGAGCAGGTCAGCTCAGCAAAAGCATATCTTCAAGGAGGTCCGCGATGTCAACGTCTCCAATGACAGGGCGAAGGAAGAGATCTCCAAGCAGGCTGGGTGGAATGGACTTGAGGGTGGAGGCCGTGAGGAGGACACGTGCCAAGCGGCTTTGGCCTACAGGGCACCAGGGCTCCAGGACCTCCCACAGTGCCTGGTGCGCCTCCTGCTGCAGGTGCCCGATGTGGGAGGAGGCGTGGAGACCTGGCAAGTCTGTGGGCAGAGAAGGCAAAGAGGGCTGGTGAGTGGCCTACCCCAATACCATGGGGTGAGACTGGCCCAAGACCCGAGGCCATCAGCTTGGTGCCTTTGAGGCCCCATCACTACCTCCTTCATTTATTTATTTTTCACTTCATTTATCCATCCTTCATGGATAGGATAGAGCCATGCGTAAGACCCTGGGTGGCCTGGTTTTGAATCCCACACTGTCACTTTATTAGCTGTGTGCCCTTGGGCAAATTTACTCAATGTCTGTGCCTTGGGTTCCTCATTGGTAAAATTGGGATAAATAATAGTACCTATCTACTAGGCTTGTTGTGAGGTTTAAATGAGCTAGTGTATGTAAAACCTTTAGAACTGGACCTAACACACAGTAAATGTAATGCGAGTGTTTGCTTTTATTATAATGAATTACTCTGATCATACATTCCATGGGGGCATTTTGATGAGGAATTCTCATCTAGGCGCCTTTCAGATTACAAAGAACGCTTCCTCTATTTGTTGTCCTGGCTGAAGTTTATGAAGACTCCTCCTTCTCACCCCACCCGACCCCCATTTTCATTCCTCTTTTCTATGTGGTCTTTCTGAAACTGCAGTTTCATCTTCAGAACTTCTCCATGCAGTCTGCTCGTGAAGGTGCGACTGAGGCATAGCTAGGTCTGCCCACCCTCCCCTCCCCTTCTCCTGTCGTAAAGGTCAGGGAAATTTCTTAGCAGAGCAGCAAGGACTAGATTCTGACATCAATAGACCTGAGTCCCCATTCTTTCTCTTTCCCTACCTGGCTGTGTGACTTTTCGCAAGTCACTGAGCCTCTCTGAGCTTGCTTTGCAAAATGGCTATTTGGAGATAATCAGGACCCAAAGGGATTTCAGTTGTCAAGTCCTTAGAATGTGTCTTTCCCTGGCTGGGCCCTGACCCCCCTCCAGCCTTGGCCCCTGTCCAGGAGTGTCTGGGATCTCACCAGGGTTGAAGAGGACGGTCCCTTTCAGGTAGGCATATTCCTTGGGGCTCAGCTCCAGACTCCAGAAGGACTCCAGGCAGCATTGCAGCCACTGCACCTCAGCTAGCGAGGGCTGGGGCCGGTCGGGCTGCTGGCTGCCGCCTGCCCCGCTGCTGGGCTTCTCCAGCAGGATCTTCTTGAGTATGCTAGGCATTGGGACCTCGGCCACCTGGAAGGTCACAGTGTCTTGGGCCAACCCCAGCAGGAAGAGGGGCCCCCAGCAGCCCCGCAGCAGCTGCCGCCGATCCTGGGGGGGCAGCTGGCAGAAAGACGGCAGGTTCTTGAGGAAGGCCAGCGTCTTGGCCAGAACATCCAAGGCCTCCCGGCAGGTGCGATGGGGCGTACATAGCTGGACAGGCCGGTGCTGCCTGCACAGGCAGCGGCCGCGGGCTGGGGCAACGGAGGGCCGGTCCCTGATGCTGGGGCTCAGAAGTGTATACAGAATGGTTGGGCGGCCTGCAGCACCCTGGCATGGGCAGGGCCCTGGCTGGCTGGAGCTCATGGTGGAGGATCTGCTCCGCCTTCTTCCTGGCTCTCCCACCTTCTGCTTGGTGCTGTGGGTGCTATTTATATCCCCAAATGGGGGAGGGAGGGGGGAACTGCCCAACAACCTTGACTCCAGAAGTCATGTTCATTGAAAAAAAAAAGAAAGAAACTCACGCTGACCCTGGCAGGACCCAGGGGGAAGTGGTGGGGGAGGGAGCCTTGGGAGCTCCACGTGGCCCTGATATCACTTCAGTCAATGAAGCAGCGGGTGCAGGGCACAGGGCTGTCTGCCCCCCTGGCCCCGCTGCCCTTTATCAGATGATTCAAGTGGATAAACAGGGTCATTAACCCAGGCTGTACCAGGGCACCAAGGCCTCAGGTGCACAATCAGCAGGTGGCCATGGCAGGTGTCCCTATTGGTGCCTGCAGGACTCACACTCAGCAGGGGAGCCAGCCCCAGAGCCGGATGAGCCTTGAACGCAAGGCCCAACCTGGAAGCGCCTTATCACTTGCTTGTTTGCCTAACCTTGAGGCCCTGCTCCTGTTGTCAGTAAGGAACAGGCTGCAGGGAAGGGAGCCAGGATCCTGGGGGGCTGGGAGGACTTTGCCTGGCTCTGCAGTCTAGAAGGAGGCCCCCTTCCTCTGACCCCAGTTCTGGGTGGCAGAGAGGAAAAATAAGGTCCTTAAGAACTCTTTCTCCCCAGCCTGGATTCCTGGAGCTCTTGAAGGGCCCTTGTCTGCTGAGAAGCCCTGGCAGAATGATGATGAAATACTACTGTTTATTGAGCACCTACTATGTGCCAGGCACTTTCCACTCTAGTATTCAGAGCTTCCTTCTGAGGCAAGATTCTGACTTTTTGAGACTCAAAGAAGTAAAGTGACTTGCACAAGTTCACGCCACTAAAATAGACACAGCCCAGATCTGTCTGACTCCAAAATCCTTGATTGTTCCCCTGGACCCATTGGCCCAGGTGTGTAGCCAGAGCTGGTGACGACCTGGGCCCCCACCTCACTGGTGCAGATGTTGCCCACTTATGATCTGGGCAGAAACGTTGCTCTGCCACCGGCAGCATGGCTTCTCTGTCCCCAGGCAGCTGTCGTGGATGCTGGGGCCTGGGTGGTGAGTGCTGGTGGCAAGGTCCTTGGCTGTGTCAGCTCTGTGGACCTTGGCAAGCCCAGCCTGGCAAGCCTTCTGCTGACACACTGTGGCAACCATCGCCACCCCTGACATCCTCTCCTGGCTCTCCCTCTTCCCAGTTGTGTGACTGTGGGCCGAACCCCAAATCTCTGTGGGCCTCAGAAGCTTCACTCAGGACAGTGCCTGCTTGCAGGGCTGCTATGAGGACAAAGTGAGGCCCTAGGTGTCAAATTCCAAGCAGCTTCTGGCATACTAGAGGAGGACTTTGCTCCCCACTTCCCCTGACTAAGGAACTGAGGCAAACAGGCCCCACATACAGGCACGCATCTTTCATGCAATTAAAATCTCATAATAATCTTTTTTTAAAAGGCACAAGTAGATTTTGATAAATTATAATTAAGTTGATCACCAGACGTAGGTTTAATGTGAAACTAAAGACATCAATTTTATGGCCACACATACATATAAAAAAAGCCACTCTAAGATGCTGGGTGAAGCCCTAGCAGTGTATTCACATGGTCATACAATTGTGTAAAATTTGTGAAAGTGGGCCTTTAGGGAAATCACATAATAATTTTAATTCTTGCATTTATAAAGTTCATTTAATGCCCTTTAATCTTCCTACATCTTCATAGCATCCCCTGGAAGGAGAGTCTAGAGTTAGACGGGCTGGGTCTAAACCTTGCTTCATCACTTAGCTGAGTGACATGGGTGCATCACTTCATGCTTCTGTGCCTCAGCTTCCTTACCTTAAGCCATTTGTAGATATTGGTTTTATGGGGACTGAAACTCATACAGTTTTGTAGGGCCTTCTTTAACAGTAGAAAAATCAATTGTGAAAGTGAACATTTAATGAATGAAAAAACAAGTTAGTACAAATTATAAACTAAAATAAGCTGACCAAAAATACAAACATCACAAACCCAGGAGAACACCAAAGTACTTTTACTGATGAAGTGCCTGCCAATAATTGCCAACATATTTTACGTGCACGCTCTTCACTCATCTCTTCGCATGTTAGTGATATTTATTTGGAAGGCAACGCAAACACAGAAAAGTTGTTGGGACATCCCTGGTGGTCCAATGGTTAAGACTCTGCTTCCACTGCAGGGGGCATGAGTTTGATCCCTGCCAAGGAATTAAGATCCTGCCAGACACAAAAAGTTTGCAAGTATAGTACAGGGAACTTTTCTTACTTTGAATAATTTGAAAGTATGTTGCCAACCTGAGCCCCAGCACCCTCAATTACTTTCGTGTACAATTCCTACAAACAAGGATGTTTTCCTATACTACATAACAATCAACATAAGGAAACAGACATTGAATAAAGCCAGGAAATTAACATCTAATTTCATTGAATAACATCAGGAAAGTAATACCTAATCTCTAGTTTTTACCTTTTAAGTTTCATCAAATGCTCCAGTGAAATCATGGTAGTAAAAGGGCTCAGTCCAGAACTGCACATTGCAATTCTTCACCATGCCACTTCAGCCTCTTGTTGTTTAGTTGCTCAGTTGTGTCTGATTCTTTGTGACCCCATGGACTGTAGCCTGCCAGGCTCCTCTGTCCATGAGATTTCCAGGCAAGAATACTGGAGTGGGTTGCCATTTCCTTCTCCAGGGGACCTTCCCGACCCAGGGATCGAAACTGCATCTCCTGCATTGCAGGTGGATTCTTTACCGCTGAGCCACCGAGGAAGCCCCACTTCAGCCTCTACTGGTCAGGAAAACTTATCCTCAGTCTGTCCTCCCCTTTCACAGTCTTGACACTTTTGAAGCGTTGTTGTTTTATAGCATGGTTTTCAATTGGGGTTGTCTGTGGCTTTTTTGTGATTAGACTCAGGTTATGTATCCTACTAGGACTGTCCCTGGAAGTGATGCTGTGTTCTTGATACACCCTGATATATCAGGGAGGACCTATCTCCATTTGTCCCAGGGTTCACTTTGATTACTTGATTAAGGGGATTTCTGCTAGACTTTGGCATATACCAGTTACTCTTTTCCTCTTTGTAATGAATCAGTATTTCTTGGGGAAGTAGTTTGAATTATGTAAACATTCCTCCTCATACATTGAATATATATGTTTGTGTATATTTAAGTATGAATTCATGGTCTCCTATTTTATTCAATGGCTTGTAATCTGTTACTTTCATTATTTACTTTGATGCTCAGATTGTCACAGACTTGTTAATGGGTGTCCTGTCCAGCTGGGATCGATGTACTTTTGACATGCCTGGGACTTCCCTTCTAGCTCAGTTGGTAAAGAATTTGCCTGCAATGCAGGAGACCTGGGTTCGATCCCTGTATCAGGAAGATCCCCTGGAGAAGGAAATGGCAATCCACTCTAGTACTCTTGCCTGAAGAATTCAATGGACAGCGGCACCTGGCAGGCTACAGTCCATGGGGTCACAAGAGTCGGACACAATTTAACAGCTAAACCACCACCAACCACCATCACTCTATAAACATCTTTTGTTTTCTGGTATATGAAGATATCACTTTTCTAGCCCCTGGAGTCAACCAGTACTAAAGAAGCTCTGATTTACCCTTTTATTTGGGAATAGTATTTAAAAACCATGATCTGGGTGCCAGAATCATACTTGGAAACCAAGATCTGGAGACGTCCCTGGTGGTCCAGTGGCTAGGATGCTGCACTCTTTATGCATGGGACCTGTATTCGATCCCTGTTCAGGGAACTAGATCCCACATGCCATAGCCCTAGGATCCCACATCTGCAATGAAGATCAAAGATCCCGAGTGCCACAACTAAGACCCAGCACAGCCAAAAAAATTAATTAAATAAAACAATTAATAATTTAGAAACCAAGATCTGCTAATTGCTATTAGGGTGCCACTGCTCTCAGGCCCTCCTAGAGCTAGGGAATATTTGACTGTGCATGCGTCCATCCACACACACACAGTTATATTTATATTTACTTATACATACTGAAAAACATGCAAAAGTGAAAGTCGCTCAGTCATGTCCGACTTTTTGTGACCCCATGGACATTCTCCAGTCCAGAATACTGGAGTGGGTAGCCTTTCCCTTCTCCAGGAGATCTTGCCAACCCAGGGATTGAACCCAGGTCTCCCGCATTGCAGATGGATTCTTTACCAACTGAGCCACAAGGGAAGCCCAAGAATATGGAGTGGGTAGCCTATCCCTTCTCCAGAGGATCTTCCCAACCCAGGAATCAAACCGGGGTCTCCTGCATTGCAGGCAGATTCTTTACCAATTGAGCTCATGAGCACATACTATTACCTGTAATTTTAATCCACTCTAATGGGATTCATTCTACTTTTTGCCCTTTCTATTAAATACATTATACCTTCCTTGTTGACACAGGGGCTTCCCTGGTGGCTCAGATAGTAAAGAATCTGCCTGCAATGCGGGAGACCCAGGTTTGATCCCTGGGACAGGAAGATTCCCTGGAGAAGGTAATGGCTACCCACTCCAGTATTCTTGCCTGGAGAATTCCAGGGACAGAGCAACCTGGCGGGCTATAGTCCATAGGGTCATGAAGACTCGGACACAACTGAGCGACTCACACTTTCTCTGACATTGAGAAATCTGGTTTCCATTATTCTTAATTTATTTACTCATTGAACCAAGCCTCTATTTGTAACTGATCTCCCTTCTCCGCCAGCACTGTCTCTGCTGTGAGATGCCTTCCTCTCCCCACCTGGGCGCTGATACCTTGGGTCAGGTTGCCTCCACCCATTCAGGGTCACTTTCACCCTGCTGGACCTGACCTGTTCCTCTGTGCCAGGTCGCTGCTCTGTGTGGACACCCTCCTGTCCCTGTTGAGGCCAACGTGGTGCCCTTTCTCCTCTGGTGCCTGCTTTTACCGTGTTCCCTTCTACCCAGCAGTTTTAGGG